AAAAATCAAATCAATGTAGTAAGTAGTACAAGATATAGATAATAGAGATTATGAGGGTCATCCTAAGGATTTTGAACTGATGTTCAGGACCAAGGTATATAGACAATTAGAGGAGATGATTTACCAGTGTATTGTGAGGGTCATCATAGTACCATCCATTAATGAATCCTGCGAAGATTCCTTCAGCTGCCATGACATAAACAAGCATGGCATTCATGCCAATCCATTTCAAAGGCAAGAACAAGAATGTCAAACACCAAATATCAACCTGTAATGACAATTTTAACCAATCCAGATGAGAAATGTGGAACATTAATCACAGGGTACACCAGAACTGAAAAACAAAATAGAAGACCTTGAAGAAAGAAAGGCACAAATTCTAGTATAAGAAAAAAATACCATAATGTAGAAGGCTGAAAAGACTAATGCTGCTGCTCCAGATGTTACACAAACATAGCTTAGTGTGTACAATTGTTTATTCAAAGGAATGGCTGCAACAAATGGAAGGGGAGGGGAAACTAAGCAAGGATAGACTAATGGTTAGATGGTAAGTTCCAGTGAAGACTGAGTTAAGAGTTCCCACCATGAGTGAAGTGAAGAACAAGTCCTGCAGTAAGCAGCGCAAAGCCAAGGAGAAGCCAGTGCTTCAACCTTGAAGAGTGGTCCTAAAGTCACAAATGAAGAAGTAAGCATAGGTTGAAGGATTGTAATTTTCAAACACTGTTACTTTGAGTCAAAGGCTTCACCTGTAAGTGTACGAGTACATGTCCAAAATGCAATCCAATGATTGTGGAGAGAATAGCAGATATTGAGCTGCAGTTGCACATACTTTGGTATTATCCGCAGAACAAGTTGTATATACAAAGGGGTGAATTAAAATCTTATCACAGTCCTCAAAAGGGTCGGAGAATTTCAAAATTGTGAGAAAAAAAATTTAAGTGGCATGTTCTAACCAAGCTGTTGAATTTGAACAAAGGAAGAGTGAATATGGGAGTCCTCTACTCTTTCTTAATAACAATGTGAGTGACATTTTCAATTATTTGATCACATATAATGATAGCATCTAGTTCAAATAAAACAAAGCCAATGTAGTGAAGAACTTGTTGAAATCTGTTAATAGTATGTTTCGGAGTTCAGATACATCGAACATACACTAAGGTTTTCAAGATCATATACAGACCTTAAAATTCCTTCTGGCTCAAAAGGAGCATAACACCATGAAGGTGCACTTCGTTTAAAAGGTCCTTCATATGGGGATTTCTCGGTGCAAGCCTGCAGCAGTCAAAAGGCAATTAGTGTTTGAAAATTCCTATAGCCATAGAGCAATTTTTTCAAATTTAGAGAACAAAATAACAACACACTTCAGCTCTCCTCCACGCTGGACGCTTATAGATGTGATTAATTCCAAGCACCTCTCGGTCAATATATCCCACAACATTACAAGGGGGATCGAGTTTCCCTCTGACACCACAGGTCACCTATAATTGACAGACAAAGCAAATTAGACCGATTAGATAATAAAATAGAAATATGGCCACAAGTCAACTTCTGCATAATTTCTAGCATCAACGAAAGAGAAAGAAATATCATATAAAGCAAAAACCATAATATAGTCCAAAGAGGTATTTAACATATGGGCTCAAGTGTGATCATCACCAGGACTGAAAACCGAAGACTACGCTATTCAAGAAAAAACTGTTTTTAGTTGACATGCTCCCCTAAACATCAAACACTATTGATATTCCCACATCATGTGTTTGAGTATAGAGAGAGTATCAATGATGTTTGATTTGTATTCCCACTTCATGAGTGCAAAGAGAGAGAGTATCAGAGGCAACCAACGGGAAGCTTACAGTTAAAGTTGTGCCATTATACATGCTGTCTGGGTTATGGACAGTGAATTGCCAGTCTGGAACATGAATTCCATAAAGTAAAGCCAAGTAAACAGCAAGTATGCAAGCACAGAGAAACCTGAAATTTTAATAAATAAAATGTTGAAAAGCATATCATACTAGCAATTAACCAGAACCATACTTTCACACACTAACCAATGCCAATAGTACAACTTGAATATTGAGAATTGGGTGGGTTCTGGATCTCTAGCTTGTGCACTTCTTGAAAATATTTCCACCAGTGCTACAACCAAATATGCTAGAGCAATCCTCTACAATGGGCTCAAACACTGGTATTATTCTTTTTGTACTCAGATTTATTAGCTAAAGTCTGCTCTATCAAAATGAGCAGGAAAAAATTATCAAAATCACCTGAAGAATGCCACACCACCTTATATGTTTCATGTCAACGCCATAAATTAGATCGTCCGGTGCATGAGAGAAACCACCTTCACATTGAGGTTATCCATCATATCAAAACAAAGGCATCGTATTAGCTGAATTAGATTTGCTAAAATCATTTTAGATTCAATTATCACGGCATATTATTGAAGAATAGCTTTCACAAGACCGAATATATTTCATCAGGAAGTAATCTTCAGCAAAGTTTATGTAATATTGAACAAGTAGTTGTTGATTCCTTTTCTAACTCTTAACCACGGGAACTCTTTAATTATGCTGATATATTTGAAAAAGGAGGGTAAGAGGAAATGAATGAGAAAAGAGTACTATTTATTACATCTCTTTACTGGAGAAAAGCTAACCTTGCAAGAGCAATCCCCAGAAGAGGAGTTTGAGTGTTCTAACTATAACCTTCTTTCCAGCTAAAAGTCTATTTGGTATTCTCTGAACATCAAATAGAAGCATCAAGAAAAAAAGGGCTGGTTTGAACCAAATAGAAGTAATAAAAGGAACATAGAAACTAACGCTTGAAAAGCATTCTTAGCCACCTATTTTCTCATTCGCAGCTAACCTTGAGAGCTAGTGGAATGGCCATCCCAACAATGAACAAAAAGAAAGGCATGACAAAATCAGCAAGGTTGCAGCCATTCCATGGCGCATGACCAATCATTGGCCATTGCCCTCCAGCATCATCAACCAAGATCATTAACTACACATCACATAACATCAAAACATGTTAAAGCGAAATCATGACGACATACAAGTCTAAAACATAAACAAAATGATATTCTTTTGTAGGATCAGTATTACCTTCACTTATATACGTTATCTCGACATTATTTCTATTCAACATTACAGTGTCCACCAGCACTGAACTTAACGTATATATAAAACAAGTGATCAATAACAGTTCTCTATAAAACACTCTAATCTTAGAGCTTGAATCTATTCAATCTCATAAAACTAAATATTTCGATAAGAAAATTTTAGGTAAAATAAAAAATAAAAAATACACGAAAGCTTACTCCATAAATTTCTTTTAATAGTTTCAGCTCATTTATGCATGGTAAGATGGTTACTAAAAAACCAACTGAACTGCGAAATTAAGAAAGAAGAGAGAAGTACCGCAACAGTTAGACCGCGAAAGATGTCAAGCGACGCAACACGCTTTGTTTTAGGCAACTTTTTGTCTGAAACAGGAAGTGCTTCGGAAACATTGAGACCGTGTTCGCCTTTGATTTCGGCCATACTGCTGTGAATTGTTTTACTCAAAATCCAACTTGAATTGGATTATGCTATTTCCATGTCTCTTTATACTCTGCTGCTTCGTGATTGTCAGGCACAATAATTACCGTAATAATATTAAGGTTGTTTCCGAAAACAACCAGTTGTGCATATCTTCAAATTATTGTTATTATTTTACACACGAGAATGAGAATACGAATCGTATCATTTAACGAAAAGACAACTTCTGAGAGTCAAATGATTATTTTTATTATTTGGATTATCGATATCTATCCATGCCTTATCATGACCAACCTTCTTTAACTTTATTGCGCTGAAATAGAAACATGCGCCAGCATAATCTTATCCACGCATGCTTACAATTACAAAGAATAACGTTATACTATTAAGTTGTTTTTGGTGTGACACATTTCGCTCATTTCTTTATATAAGAATTTTGAGCTTATTTTGGTTCTTTAGAAAAATTATTTTCGAGGTGTCAAATTGATACAATATTTTACCGGAAAAACATTTTCAGAACTAGAAGGTAAGCGAACATAACCTACCTAAACCAATAGAAATTCAATTTGGATCTTATTAACTAATTTTACTTTATATGTTTTCATCCTTTCAACTAGGGACAATCATTTAGATCCCCGAATAATATGTTTTCCATAATCTTAAATTAAGTTTTCGTTTTCCCTCTCTTTTCAATTACTGTTTTCTTCTTGCTTCTTGTGTAATACTTGTATTATATAAATTTCAAAGATGAATAATTTTATTTTGATAATTTAATCATGGATTCTAATGTTTGATCTTCACATTTAACCAATTTCTTGATGTTTGTTTAGTTCAAATTTGATGGTTAATTGAATACAGCTTTAAGATTCCTATTTTATATTCAATTAAAATTTCATGACTCTTTCCCTATTTAATTTGAGTTTGAATTACAGTGAAAGTGCTTAATTATTTGGTCTAGATTAATTAACAAATTCAGAATGTTTATTTTATATAATAACAAATTTAATCATTCATTAACTGGGAAAATTCAATTCAACAAATATTAGGTTATGTTGATTGGGAATTATCATTGAATCTAATGAAAAATCTACGTTGATCGCTAATTCAATTAATTAATCCATTCTTTTGAATAATTTCTAATGTTTTATTTTGATTCCTTTTGTCCTAACACCAAAACCCCCCACATACGTGTGTTCCTCGTAGGTGTTTGACAATTAATCTTGTGCCAATAATCCTTTAAACAAGACCTAAGGTGCGACAATCACTAATCAACGATAAATTATACAGTTTTCTTGCATTTAGATAAAAAAAATGATGGCTGATTTAGAAAAGAAGGAAAATTTGCAGCTAAAGGTGGCTTTCAAAATTCCATTGTCAAAGCAAACAACACCATATGCAGCCCTCACAGCAGCATTTAAGACAAACAATCCTACAATCACTTTATCTTCCTCGAAAGGCTTATCAAGAAGTTTTTGAGACATGATCATCTGTCCTTGGGACGTTGTTCTTTGGTAGCAAATACAATGGAAGAAAATAAGGCACGATGAATGCCATTCCAAGACCAAGCACAGCCAGTGCCACCACCCACCAAGCTTCGTGGGGTATGCCAAATAATAGTTCATCACATACTACCGTATCAACATAAGAGAATATAGGATATTAGCAAATAAAGGAAAATATTAGATAAACTTGTAATGAAGCATAGGACGTCACAATCAGGTCAATTATTGATATACTACGAAACAAAAGTTACCGATATTGAAGATAATAAATTGCCTCTCTGGTACGTGCGGTTTTGCAGCAAACCCTTCTGGCTCCACAGTAACTAATACTAACGGGAATTCCTCCTGAATTAAGTCAACGATGTAAGCACATGTAAGAAGAGCACATATAAACTTATCAGAAACTTTGGAGTACAAGGCCTCATAATACTATTGGACCTGATTCTCGCTGGTCTTAAAAATTAGCTTTTCAGTGTTGAGCAATCTCCTGTTATTGTTCAGCACTACATCCGACTTGTTTCTCTTCAGTTGTATGGAAAAGCTAGCAGGTATCTGTTATTTTTTATTTAGTGTATGTCAGTTTCCAGAGCAACGATCCTCTGCAAAGAACTGAAGGAAGACGTAATATACATACAGAAGCTGGATATGATATCTTCACTTCATACCACGTGTGGGGTTTCAGACCCTGCAATTGATAAAAGCAAGAGCCACCTTGTAATGGCATAGTTTCTTTCCACAGCTCTTCTCCAACTTTCAAAATTTTGTCCTCAACACTGCCACAGCAAGCAGTTGAGCACTATAACTAAGTTAATAACAAGGAGACTTCTGATTTGGGGAGTCCAAACAATTAAGATGAATGTATATATATAATTGAGGATTTTTATACACTCACTTATTCCCAATGCAGAGAGTAGGGCCATTAACTATGATAAGCAGAATGCAAAGAAGAATAAGCATATTGCACTTGCAAATGCAGAGGATTGATAATTAAACACCTAGATCTTCAACTCAAACCTGCAGAAGATTAGTATTTTAGTACACATTGAACTCTTTCAAATTGGGTAGAATTTAATATTGCAATAGACTCTTAATGAACTGTACCACCTATCATCAGATAAAGAGGGGCATTTCATATGATAAAAGAACATATAATTGAAACCGACTTGAATGAAAAAGCTATGGGAGGAGAAAGTATACAACATAAAAATTCATATGGTTATTGCGTTTCCTAATCGTATTTATTTTCAGACGGATTCTAAGGTGGACCATGCTCCACAATTAAGAGTCTTTGGATTCATACAAGGTGCGTAGTCCCTCCCTATAACAAATCTCCTCTTTCATCATAGGCACAGTGTGCCATAACTAGAGGCAATTGTCAACGACGATGCCAATTTTTCTGCTTTTACCTCCCTCTCATTCCTCTTCTTTACCCCTTATTCTCGCTACCTCTCCACCATCGGATCACCAACAATTCATAAACAGAAAATAGTGTTCGAAACAGACCCTTGCATTTCTAACTTGAACGATAAGATTCCCAAGAGTGGTTAAGAGGAAGGAAAGGATAAAGAAGTAGGAAAATATGGGACTCTTCGAAAATCGTCTCTAGTGAAGATGAAAGGTAGAGAACAACATGCAAATCTCAGATAACATGAGTTAAGGGTTCCTTAGTAGTAAATCTCAGATAACGGCACAAAGCACATGTAACCTTATCTTGATCAACATAAAGGTGATCACTTAGGAACCCTAGCTCATTATAGCAGAGGATTCAAGCTTTGACCATAATTTCCAACAACTTCATCATCATCTTGAAGCTTTTACAGAGCGCAATGTTGAAAGCAATTTCATTCCTATAGAAGAATCGTGCAATGTATTGATAATCGCTCCAAGTTATCAAACCACCCATGGTGAGAATTGGAAGCCACTTTCGCCGATTCACCCCTCAATCACATCGCTCTCGACTACTAAGGAGGGTTCCTTTACTAAAAAGAATTGTCGCTAACAAAACAAATGTTCAAGACACATGAGAGAGAGCAAACTCAGGATTAATGCAAAACGCACCTAGGTAACAATGGTTCTCTCCTGCAAGTTTCTGTCCGTTTTGGGTGTCGATGTTGGGTTCTCCTATGACACCTGCAGATCTGTGTTGGTGTCTTTCTCAACTTTTTTTGTTTGGATGTTCTCCTTTGTTGTCTTGGAACACCCTCTTCTCTTCTCTTCCATTTCATATAACTCGGTCCAAGCTACAGATTTTAATAAGGTTTTAGTTTTTTTACTGTTGCTATTTAGGGTTTTTGGAACTCAGTTCAACAATTTTTTTTTAACATAATATAATATAATAATAGTAGATATCTACATTTTTGTATTTATTTTATTTAATAAAAATATTTTTTTAATTAATTTATTTAAATGTATGTTACGATAAGGTATAATATTATATTTTAAAAATAATTATCGATGTTAAAACAAATATAAATTTATTATCTTAAATATTATCATTCTAATTTTATACAAAAAAATTATTCTCAATATTTTCTTATTTTAACTCAATATGTAAATATAGGAAAAAATTATATATATATATATATATATATATATATATATAAAATAATAAAATAATAATATAAAAAAATATACTAGTGATATTTTAATATAATATGGTAAGAAGTAAAATGGTAAGAATTGAATTCATGGGGACAAAGATGTGGCTTTCTTACTGTGGAGAAAGAAAAGAGTTGTGATTCTGATCAGGAAAGAACCAACCTCCTTGTGTTATCATCAAGGAAATGCACTTCAACATTTGGGCCATCAACATTAACCAAAGCTTGCCTGCATGCTTTAGTTTACAATGAGAGCAAGCTTCAGAAACAATGTTTGTTCCCACATGGAGCACATCAATGTATGATTTGGCTAAGTCACATCATTCCAGACCCAACATTCATTTAATTACTTAATACTGACTCATCACATCCATTTTCTTTTTCAACCTTTCATAAACCAACTGTGTCTATGGAATGCAAGCAACAATATAGCAAATCTTGTTTCGAGTTATAATCTAAGATATTTGTTAGTCTGTCAGAACAAATTCCAACTTCATCAGAAGCAAAATCCAAAAACTATGCATGACAAATTGAGTTAACAAACTGAAGATTATAGAGATGAGAATGCGAAGAAGATAAACCAGAAACTAACCATGGAGTTGTGATCTGAGAGAGAAAGCTTTTGAGGGTTGGAGGGGCTGAAATAGCGTTTGTGCGAAGCAAGAAAGAGTCAGTGAGTGAGAACGTGTGCTTAGGAGACTCAAATTCAAATTCGTTTAATGAAACTTATCTATCTCAAAATACTACACGTATAATAACCAAAAATAGATTTTTATACAAAAACTAAATTAAAAATACTTCAGAAATATTAATGATTAACACCACCATATGGAAATAACCAGGTCAGAAATCTATTACATTTATAGAGAATAAATTAATTGCTAAATCAAAATTAAAATTTAAACACACCTTAAACAATTTGGTCTAGAAAAATTTAAAACCTTAAACTTTGTTAAAGGATAGTGACCTATTTGGATTATATGAATGAGAAAACATTTTAAAAAAGTGTGTTAGAACAAACAGATATTATCAAATACTCATTTTATTCAATATGGTTCTAGATTTTCCCACCCAAAACTAATTGACTCATGCTACCATAGTTTCTATGCAGCCAAATTAAATCTTGACTTGCATGTCACCCTAATATTTTTCCTTGTAAAAATGCATACATCTCATTACTTTTTCCTGATGTGTGTGCATATATATAATCACATCACTCTTTGTTTTTTTTTTTTTCAAATAGCTTTCTAGCTGATTGTTGTTACTTTTCAATCAATTAAGAAACACCAAGTGATGCTCTCTGTTTCATCTACAACATTACCAACTTTTTCATTTAATTTTCAAAGTACTTGGAATTTTACTCTTAAAGAGAGATAGGTTTATATATAATCTTATATTAAAAGTGGTGGATTGTTATTGACAAAATTTACTAATCATTAGTATTTATATTATAACATTCGTAAACTCAAGCTTTGAATTAAGATGGATAGATATACTGAGATATTGTGCATTTAAAATAAAAAAACTGCAAAATGGTAATCACTTAAATATTACGTACTCAAAATCATTTTTTGTTAGGAAATAAACTTTTGCAAAATCTTGAGATATGATGAACAAGTGTAAAGGATCATCATTACTTCAAATATTCTGTATTTGATAAACATATTTAAGAGGATTATTACTTAAATATTTCGAATTTGAGATAAAAATATTTTAAGAAAATAAAGGAATCACATTTTCCCAAAATTTTCTAATTACTTTTTTTCATTTTTAAAATAATAAAACAAAACTATGAATACATAAACTCTTATTAAATAAGGCCCTGTTCATATTTTACATCTCAGACTAAGTAAGAAATTAAATAACTTTATTTTAATAGAGTTTAATACATATTTCTAATCAAACATGAAAAATATATTTAATAAATTTATTTGTGATTCAACTTTTGTAATAATAATAATAATAATAATATATTAAAAATATAATATCATAACTAATAGTACTAAATATTTAAAAAGCATAAATTTATAATTTCTTGATATAATATAATATTTGGTTTAAATGTTTTCGATGCATAATTATATCTATTAATAAATAACAAGTTTATTTATAAAAATAATTCTGATTCATATTTATTTTAAAAAATAAAGTTAAAAAAAATTATTGACATGTTCTAAATTTATCCGATTATTTTTTTCGATTTTCAATTCTTCTAGTTTTTGTTCAAACCAAATTATATGGTGTAATCGAACCAGATTTTTTTCAATTTTTGACAGATTTTCAATCCTTCGTCTGCATTTTGTTCAAACCAATTATGTCATTTAATCAACTATATATCTGATACATTTACCAATTTCCCTATTTTAAAGACCACTTTTGGCTGATTTTAAGTGTATTTTTGTTTCGATGATGGGGATGATTTCGAATTTGGATCATCTATAAAATTAAAATTGAACATAATTAGACATGGTTTGATTAAATTTGTCGACTAACTAACTTCATTAAAACAAAATCAAAATTAAAGTAATTATGTTAGATAAGATTTCGTAAATCGAAAATCAACTGATCCAATTCCCATATAATAAAAATTGTCCATATTTTATGTTTTTTTTTTACAATAACTTCACCAAAATACAACAAATCCAATTGAATTTTATTTTAAACGAGTTTGTTTTATTTATCAAACTTATGATTATGCATAAGATTATACAACATACATATATTTTTTTGGGGTTAAATTTATTTTTTAAAAAGTTTAATCTAACTTTTAAAAAAGTATAATAAAGCTTTAAAATAAAAAAAGACAGGAATATATATATATATATATATATATATATAAACAGCTCAGACCGACAGGACGATTGAAAATGTGTCAACTCAATCCAATGGAACAAAAATAATTAATCCGACCCAGACATATAAGACAATTTAACCTCATTTAAAAGAAGATAATAAAAAAATACTTATTTTTAAAATTTAGTCAATTTTATAAAATTAATTTCCAATTTTTAGATGTGATAATTTAGTACATAAATTTTAAAAAAAAACTATTTGTTTTCATATAACAATATTTTTAAATTAAAATTAGTTTTAAAAATAAATTAACCGATAAGTTTATAGTCAGAGAGGTATCAACACACGACCAACCAACTAAAATTGGTCCGTTTTAATTTGTGCCCTATATGTGAAGTCTCTTAATTCAGGCCTACCTAGCCTACCCACAGAACCAATCCTATAATGCCAATTCTAAATGGTATGCACAATCATAATGTGAGAATTAAACCAGCTTCTTGCAATACTTCTAACTGCAAACAGAAACAACAGCAACTCTTCTGCTATACAAATAATGTCAAAAAAGAATTACAGTGCACTACAATACATCAGCGGAAGATACTCACTCTGACAAAGGAGGAAGCTTCATGAAGCAAATGAGTGAGTATAAAGAACATCAACCTTAACAATGATTGACTTTGATCATATGACATGTAGTGAATATATGAAGAACTTGTCGCCAGAGTAAAAACACAAACTTTTATTGTTCTGTGTGAACGTGTGTATTTACTTTCCAATGCCAAGTTCTTTTGATATGTCTCTTGTCAAGCTAAATTGCAAAGTATTATGCCATGGAAATAAGGTGCGGGTTACAGGAAGCTTTCTCCGAAGATCCTGCAGATATTTGTAATGAATAGACTTCAAATTCAACATATAATGCCATAGATATACACTTAAGAAAAGCATCAGATATAGCTTTCCCTTAATCAAGTCAGTAGAAGGAAAAAAAATAAAGAGCATCTTAAAGGTGATTGGTCGCAGTCATGAGGAAAAAGTTAGGAACATGGCATTGCTTTAATGGGAATCAACAATAACCACAGACTTCACAGAAATGCCACATCTGAAGCTTGGATTAAGAAAATGCAGGGATGATATAACGGGTTACCTTGAAAGTCGAATCAGAAAGGCTTAGATATGATGCCTGTCAAGTTATGGTCATTAGTAAACCATGTGCACATTATTAAAATAGAAAGAATGAAGGACCCTAGCTACAAGAAACAAATTCAGAACCTCAAGAGAAGCAAGGTACTCCGCTTCATGATGACGAATAATGCTTGTTATGGCAAGTGCACATTCTTCGGGGCCCTAAAATAAAATAAAATGATAATATATTAATAGATAAGCTTTAACAGAAGTATAATAAATAAATGTTGTCTCTCTATAAACGATCCATTCTATCTCAACCTTATCACTTCATAATAGACATTTAGAACTTACTTGATTTAGTTTTTTTTTTTTTTTTTTTGAAAATAAGTTGAAAAAAATAACGTGTTTAATAACTCTAGTTTGAAAATTATTTTAGACAAAAAATGATAAAATTAGTGGCGACAAAAAGTAGTGGTGATAATTGGAAAAAGATTTCGTTAACTTCATAATGATAAAAGGGAGCGATGTAGTACAATTATTAGTAAATAACATTAATGGAAACAGAAAACTAAAAATATAAAACACCTTTTATCAACATTATTTTTTAATTATTATAAACTAAAAACAGATTTTAGAAACAGTAAACAATTCCTTACTTTCTCATAGGATACAAGTACATTTAATGGAAAATAATTATGGAAAGACTTAAGCAATGCAGTCACACCTAATAAAAATAAAATGTCTAATGCTGATTTTGGTAACCTGAAAAAGTGTTGCATCTTTGCGTTCGTGTTTCGCATCTAACTGCACATTTCCTTCCTCAAAATAATGGGCACCCACCTGAAAATGGATTAAAAATAATCATGTTTTAAGAGCATTGCACCATATCATTCAAATTAATGCATAGATATCGATAATATTACCTGAATTTTACCCTTTACTTGTACTGTTTGACGTTCATCTTTGAAAACAATATTCCATATTGAACACCAACTCCCGTTGCTATAAACAAAAGCCAAAGAAAAATTAAAATATATCGACATTATTAATGCATCAATATTCTTATTTTGTAACTAGTAAGGCAGAAAGTATCAATCAAATGAATAGTTGGAATTTCAGCCAACTAATTTCACAAACCAGAAATTCTGTGGGCTATGCCTAGCGGCAGAAATAACCACAGCAAGCTCAAAATCAGAACCTGGGCCCTCTACATCCTTCCCATTTATGCAGTAAACAGAGCAGACACCTTTCGGATAAGCTTCTTCAACATATTTAAGAATTTCAGCATCCAGATTGCATCTGCAGTAAACAAATACTTGTGTTACGGAAATTATGTACATCAGTAAATATATAGAAGTGTGGAATTCAAGTTACTTTATTTAAGGGGTGAATTTCTATTTCATGTCGTCAAACGTCAAAATATAGTTTTTTATTTAAAAAAGAAGAATAAATAGTCATATATTAACTAATTCAATATTGAGTCTACTTGCTAACTAAAATACAGTACATATTCTCAATGAAACAGCTCCATGGAAACCACAAAACAAAGTGGATTATGAATTAGCATTGAAGAAAATATTTCCAGAATCAATTTATTATAAACGAGTTCAGACAGGTAAATATTGAGGAATAATATATTACTGACACAACAGAGATAAATTTATTTGAAAAGAGAATAAATGCCCCTGAATATATTATTGACACATTATCAAACATAAAATAATTCAACCACAAAAAAGAATTAGAGAATTACCGAAATTCTTCAATATATGGAGATGGAAGTTCTTCGTCTGTGGCAGGTCTCACCTCTGTACAAACCTGTGACATTGAGCATACTATCATAAGACAACAAGCTTACAACTTGGAACTACTGCACTTGAGCCTACTCATCACAAAAGTCATAGTTAAAATAACAAAAATTTCATGTTTTGCTTCATCCCCACTTTCAACTAAGTTTTCTGGTAAATTTTGATGTATTAAGCTAAAACGCATGTTCCAGCAGCCAAGTCTAAAAAGCAGAGTTAAACCTTATAATACTTAGCAGTATACATCAATATACCAAAGTTCAGATCAATGCATGAAGATCCAGTTTACATTAAATCTAGTCATTAACTTGTTCCAACTTCGTTACAACGATAGCTGAATTAAAGAAATTAAACTAGTGAGCATAAAAAATGTCTGGTTTGATTATTAAAACTCAAAAATAACTTCTGAAACAGCATATAAGAAATTAAGATGGTCTTTGGTACTTACTTGTTTAATATGGTCAACAATTGCTACTTGGGCAGTCCTCGGTTCAAGAAATGCATTTCCCTCAAGCTCGCCAAACGAAGTAACCAGTACCTGCAAGCACGTGTGAAGTCCAACGAGAAATTGGAAAATAAAAATCCAATGAACTAAAAAATAAATGAAAAATGATGTGGAAACCCTAGGAAAATAAGTTGTTGAGTGTGTGTGTGTGTGAGAGAGAGAGAGAGGGAGAGATTTACGTCTCCGCTTCGATTGGCCATTTGAAGGGAAATTAAGTGGGATTTGTTGTAAAAGGGAAAAGCCTCGGAAGCGGCCTCATTGTACAAATCGTCGCTGCTGAGAATGGATTTCACATCTGCAGAAATGATTCGGGAATTGATCGAACTGTAGAACAATAGATGGAAAGGGAAAAGGAAGAAGAAGAACCTTTGGCAACATATTGGATTTCCCCAGGAGGGGAGTTGAGGAGGAACCATTTGGCGATTTCCACTTTGTGCTTATCGCTGAGCTCTGATTCTTCTTCTTCTTCGGCCATGTCTCGGTTCGGAGGGGGAAGACGTGATTTTATTTAAAATAAAATGCGAAATGAAATGAAGATCTCACAGTGTCGTGGCTCGTCTTTTCTGAATGATAGGGAAGAGAAGAGAATGCTTCTTCGCCAATCAGGCCCGTGGGCTCCATAATTGAAAACATAACGGGCCCAACCTCGTCTAATGATCATACTTAATACATCGTTGTGTAGTGTGTGGAGTTAGTGCGTGTCTGTAAAGTGTATCATATTATAGGCCATAGCTCCCGGTTTCGGCTCAAATCATTTTGCTCGACAATCACGCTCTCTCTCAACATTATGCATTACATTACCAATTCAATAAATTGCTAAAAAAGCTCAAAGACAATCCAACGCCTAAAGTACCTATCGATATTCGTGTTCCCCAATGTAGATGAACAAGTTATTTATTCATGAGGGAATGGCTTCTAAATAATGTCGGTAATGACAATTGTGTTTTAAAGCTTTCGTTATTTAATACATAAATTGGAAAAACAAAACACTAGATGTACAAATTTCACACGAATACTAACAACTCCTTCTAAATGCTAAATTATTTTGTTGGTAAATGAGAAAATTTCTATTAGGCAATATAAATATTAATTTTAAGTTGCATATAAAATAATTTTGTTTTAGGTCATTTTTCTTTCATAAAGCTGAGCTATCTGAGAAAAATATTGCATTATGTTAGAGAAGAATATAAGAATAAATCTCTATCATACAATTAAAATAGATTACTAAGATCAAATTAAAAAGACAGGAGATATTGATATACGATAGTTTAGTTCAATGTTAAGGTCAGAAATGAAAGCATTATACAGTAGCCACTGAAAATAACATACATTATTTGAGAAGCATTATATTTTCTAAAAAAGAAATCATATATACATTAATAAATAACCATGTATATAATTTACATGAATTTTAATTCTGTCCTCGGTGCTTTCCATAGTTTTTCAAAAAATATATATTTATATGAAAGGTATCTTCGGGACGGCGTGCCACAATGTAATTCCACCCTCAAACTTTATAAACTAAACGAACAAATTAGCTATTTGGGTTACAAGTTCTCAGCAATTTTACTACGTTTAACTGCTGGTCTAACATAAGCTCAATTATTTTATTTGAAAACCGAAGATTTGAATTTACACACCCTATAACTGTTTTCAGTGATGGACGTAATTCCACTGCCGTAATAGATTTGCTTCCAAAAACTGCTTCCATGCCTTTAAGGGGCCTATATCTCTACTACAGCCAGTAGAGTTCTTCGTTTCATAATTTATAAATATGCCTTTGGCAGCAAATGACACAAGCTCCATCTGATCAATATAACCACGCATTCTGTATGAGAATCCAGCTCTCCAACTCTGATCACCATGAGATTGCTGAGGCCGAGAAACACTAACATTTGGAAGGGAAACTGTTTCTTGTGGCTGTTTTAAATCATCTTCTACAGACATGCAGCTATCCATTCCAAATAATTCCCAATCAATCTGCTGCAATATTTCAGATGTTCGTTCAGTGTTTCGTGAGGAGTGATCTTGTAGTTGCATTTCTTGTTCAGTTGCTATAGTGTCAACCTGGGCCTTTAGTTCATGCAACCGATCGCCAATTCTTGATGCTACTGCATCATATAGTCGTCTTCTTGGCACATCCAAACCTTTCTCCATGTCAAGTTTAAGTATATCATCAAAATTGATCGGATCACCTATGAGCACTGTAACCTAGAGAATCCAAGTATGTTAAATATGAAATTCAAACTGAAAAATAGAAACAGCTAAAATAAATCCCATCATTAAAAATATATCCCAGGCAATGCAGAATCTAGATTCAGTAATTGAACGTCTTCATCCGAGGGAATGAGAAACAAGTTCAACGTTAAGGGGCAATGAGTATAGCAGTCTAACTCCATGCAGCAATGAAGACCCCATATATGCTGATAAAAATTCTAAGAAATGAATCAATAAAACGTACCAGCTTGCCTATTCTGGGAAAGTTAGCACCTATAGGCATAATCTCCTGCATCCCTGTATGTACAAATGGGACAACGAGAGGCATGCTATCTCCATCCAGGACCAACCTGATGGGAAAAGTTTAAATCAAGAAAAATATTTTACACTAATAAAAAACAAAATAGTAGAAATAAAGAGAAGTAAAATTTACCAGATGAAAATACAGTATTGACCCCATACACGTGAACTAGTTTAGCAAAAGTAAAAGAAGTAATGGTGCAGATCTGACACGTAGTCCCCAAATGTAACATAAGAAACAATCCAAACAATTCTTGATACCATGGCAAAAATTATAGTTGGTGGTAATTTACCATCAAATTATGACTACAGCACAATACTTATACATAAATATCTTTGAACCTTGACTAAAACATGTTTTGAACCCGAGACAAAATATATGGTATAAAATCATAAAGAACATAACCTTAAAAATCACATTGCATACGAATGATACCAATACACCAAAGTTTAAAAGGTCATGTCTTAAGTCTGAATAACATCATTGAGATTTTAAGGAGAAAATTACCAAACTTTACCTATCCCTATCAATTCCAGAACTAAAATATGGAATATGACGAGTTCAGTAGATTTTAGTTTCCATTCAAATGAGTCTAAATGTCATTTGAGCAAATAACAATAAATATGGTAAAATAAATTATGTGAAAATTCAGAAATTCTATCATCTAAATTTTAATCTGATTCAAAAAGGATGATATTGGGGTGGAGGGGTAGGAAATAATTCCCATCCTTTAATGTTTAATTTCAAAGTTTAAGGAAAAAAATAACCATCGGGTCAAAACTATGGAACAAAAATTGTAATTTTGCCATTCTGATGTTACCATGGAAGTTCTTGAACATTTTCTCGAGGACAAACTATTTCTTCAATTAATAATTTACATTATAATACTCTAAACAATCACAAAATAATCTTGTAAACAAGAATCGGCAAGCATAATAAGGAGCAAGCAAAACATACAGTTAGCATTCTACTGCAAACTACTATAGAAGATTGTTACCTTCCAACACCTCTCTTGGAAGAGCTCATGGTTTTTCCACCATCCCGAGACCGGCTACCTTCAGGGAATATGTGGACCCAATCACCATGGTTTAATTTTGAAAGGGCCAAGTCCATTCCCTACAGAGGAGGAAGTAGATGGGATTACAGTCATCCTTAAATAGAGAAGTTTCAGCTCAGAGAGGCAAGGGGGAAGCAAGAGACAAATGAAGGATAAGAATAGATAAATACAAAACGATAGGGTCAGAGATACTCAATTGATAACTATACGAAAACAAGCACCCCTAGAATAGAAAGTACGCGAAAAAGTTACAAACTTGTAAGCAGAACAGAACATAAAGATAAATTGAATCATTCAATCAAGTCATAGGGAGTAATAAAACGTTAAAAACAAAAAACAGTGAGATCTTCACCAGAAGATTCACCGGAGTTAAGCTATTATCATATACTCAAAAGCCTCAAATTGGATGAAAAAAAGTTCATGAGAACCTTTCACCAATATTATAAACATTGTAGTAAAGGCTCTTAGCTACTGTCTGTGGGATCCATACCTCCTGATAAATCCCATCACCCCGAGAAACCGGCAAGACTTTGACAGATCGAAAGAATGCAGAAGTAACGGGGTTTTTAAAACACCTGTCAGTTGCACAAAGCGTCCATCTAAGATTCCTAGCATCCAAAAGAACACTAGGTGGAAGCAGAGAAGCAATGACAAGCGGATCATCCATGGAAGCAACATGATTGCTGACCTGAAAAAAGAAACAGCAAAAGCAAACCTTCATCAAATAATTAAATTCACACAAACATAAATTCCTGTTCCACATCTTGGAATAGCACGTACCGTAAGAAGAGGTTTACCCTGAGGTCTATGCAACAACGCGGAGTGCAGCTTTTCTAAACCATACACCTATTCTTCCACACATAAACCAAGTCACATCATCACATAGCAGAATGCAAGATATAATAAACCAAACAAGATAGATATGAGGCATATCATACCTGCACACGGTTTAATCCGTTCATAAACACATGACAAACATTTCCAAGAACAGGAACTGCAACTGCTTGCATCATACGAACAAGAGTTGAATCTTCTTCAGAACTAAAATCCCTAGTCACTGTGAATACACACGCAAAAACATCGAGTGAAAAACTAGCAAATAGCGCCTATCGCATATTTAATTCGAATTCCATCACAATATTCGAGAAAATATATTTACGGAAGAGAGAATTAATTATGGAAGCATTAATTAATCAGGCACCTCGTTTGCGATAGAAAGAGGTGGAAGAAGGCAGTGACTCTCTCCGGAAATCACGAAATCTTGTAAGCCAGCGTTGAATAGTGGAGGAGAAGTAGCCGTCGGCGGTGGGAATGAAGGTGTGGTGGTGGCGGCGGCGACAATGGCGGTCGACAGCGACTCGGAAACGGTCCCTGAGCTGTAACTGCAGGGATCGCGCCTTGCCCTTCCAAACATCACCACGATCGAGACGGGGCATCGGTAAACAAAGCGGAGAGAAAGAGAAAGGAGAGAAAAAATGAGTTTCCGGTTTATAGGGCGTGCAGTTAGTGGCACAGCTCAAGTATCAACAAGCAAGTGTACAACGAGAAAACGATGGGATGGAGCAATTTCTCACACCGCTTATTCTTAAACTGTGGATCGGGTCGGAGCGGATACGGAAGTATCCATGATTTTACTCTAAAAAATCAATATTAGATCATATTTTTTTTAAATGTATATCCAAGTAAAATTTTCATATTTAAATATAATATAAATTATAAAAAAATATTATTATAAATAAAGTTAGTGTTTTTTAAAAATCGTAATAATATTCGTATAAATAGTAATAAAACAGTAAATCTAAAAGTCGTATAAAAGTTGTATTTTTAAATATAATCTAAAATAAATAAATTTATAAATTTAAATTTTAGATAATTCTTCCATTACTAATATTTTTCGTATAATCACCTTATTCTAAATCCATATCAAATAAAGATAACTAATAATAAATTATATATAATTAAAATATTTGTATTTATTATTTATGGATATGTATTGAAAACATGCATTATCCATTACAGATTTTACGTATAAATATCTATTTATTTTATTTATATTTATTGATTAATTTGGTAATGAGTTGGATAGGGATGACCCACTCCAACTACAAGGCACGACTTACTTTCTCATTTGGAAGGGACCCGTACCAGATATTTGTTGCATGTTTCCCTGTTAAGATTCAACACAGCATGTTTCTACAAGAATCTCTTGTATATATTACTACATTTGCCAGATTTACATTGGAATCTTCTGTTTGTGCCCGAACTAATTTTGAATTTGGTTCAATTAAAAAAAATAAAGAAATTCCCAATCCAGTCTTTTTGTTGGTTTGAAGATTTCTTGTTATGTTTGGAGTACAAATATTTTTTCTTTTCCTTAATTTGTTATTGTCATATGGTCCTTACTTCATCTTAAATCAATATATTTGAAAACATTTCTTTATAGGTAATTTTAATACAAGAAGATAAAAGAAAAAATATTTTTTTCATAAATTAAAGTTAAATTTTACATAAATTAAAAATAAAACAAACCTTCAAATTAATTTTAATTTATTAAAAGTATTCTTACTTTTCTTTATATAAATATTTATAAAAAAAATCTTATATGTATCTAATTCTCAAAATCAGAAATTTTTTAAAATTTTCTACTAGTAATTACATAAATATTCAGTGTCAAGCCATCAATCATAATAATCTTAATTACTCGTTTAAAAAGAAGAAAACAATCCATTTAACTAAATCTTAAATAACATATAATTTATTTTAAAATAACTAAATAAGTTTTATAAATAGACGATCTTATTCTTTAAACATATCTATTTATATTTGTATTCTTTATTTTTATATTAAACACATACCAAATCTAGCAGTATTAATAAGTATTTTTTATTTACGGAATATATATATATATATATATATATATATATATATATATATATATATATTCCAAAGTCTATTTATTAAAAGAAAGACGATAAATTTGTTCCATAGGTAATGATATTTTATAATTATATTTATATATAAATACACAATGTCCCTTTTATAATAATATAATAAATAAATTTTAACACGAAATATAAAAGAAAGTTATTTGTCAAAATATTTGTTTTTTATTTATATTATCTTTTAATTGTTACATTTGTATCACCCCTACTCACGTTCTCTCTCCAATATTTGGTCTTCACTTTCTAGGAAAGAAAACCATTTAACTGCTATTGTACACTACCTCACCAATTTATTTCGATTTTCAATTATGAATCACCCACGTCAGCTACATTGATTAAAAAAAAAAAAACATTTCAACAATTTGAGTCTAAAAATAAAACGGAAGCAATCAGTGTCTGTATTTCTGCAAATAATTTGCTTTCCTTTATTAAAAATCATCACAACCTTCTAGATTACATAAGTAATCTTAAATGAACATTACGGTGAAGAGGTTTCTTTATATATATGCAAGGGTAAGAATGTAGGGTATCTTTATAATCAATTGTTTTTCACTTTCCTAATTAAACTTTTGCAAAATAAAGTGCGTATAGCTCAGTCACTATAGATATAGTTATCTGTCACAATCACAACATCAGCATATGAATATTTGATAATTTCCGGTTTCAGATCCAACATTCAAGTAGTTCACATCAACAGCAACATTCCCAAGATCATCTACAGGGGAAGGAGAAAGAACACACAAAAAAATCAACCGTTCTGAAAGAAAGATTCAAGCTAAAAATGTCGAGTTTCAGGCTTCACAAAATAACAGTGTAGAAAAGAAACAGAAACCCGAACCTTCATATATAGTCCTTGCAAAATTTACATAATCAGGTATTAGATCTCTGTATATGATTCCATCAGGACAAGCATCCAGCACTACCAGAACACCTGTGCAATTGATTTTGTTAAGCCATTGATTAATTATCAAAGCCTACAAAAGTTTATCACGGGTAAAAGTGGATCAGAATGAGTGAAGAAAATGTATTATTAACTAAATGAACACTAATCCAGATCTCGCCCAAATGGGGTGCAAAGCTAAGAATAGGAAGAGGTTACAGAAGGCTCTTCCAATCCCAATTAAAATTTTGACTCCGGGATGCCGCAGAATAATTTTCCTCCGTTTTTCATACAGCACATCTATTGAGAATTACAACTTCCCCTTTTCTTCCCCAGCCTATTTCACCTACTATATAGACTAGTTATTGAAGGTCGGTAAGTCGCTCAGCATCCAGTTTGAATTCAAATAAACAAATACATAGATAAAAATCAGGGAATAGAAGTTTTAGATAGGTAGGACAGAAGATCTCTATGCTATCAATGTCAATGTAATGTATGAAAACAGTAGCAATATGTTAAAACGTCCAAATGATGCAGAAGCGTAGACATTCACCTTCAAGTGAAGTATGAAGAACACAGCAAGAACGAAAAGGAAAAGAATAGAAAGAAAGTGATTTTTTGATTTAAAACCATATGTGCATGACCCATGCAAAAGGGAAAAAAGTAATTAGATATAAAACTACTGCAGAAATGAATACAGAGCATGTCCATCATGAAATATCCAGAGCTCTTCCATTCCAAAGAGTCAGTCCACAAATCTAAAACAAAGAAGTATGGCACCGGTCCCATATTTTGCAAGAAATCAGAAACAATGGTTTTGCTATATATAATACATTGACAACTGTGACAGATCAGTTCCTGAGAAGAGTGCAACCGTCATGTATCACAAGTGCATGAAATTGAAAGGTAATCCACACATTTTCTAATAAGCACAGCTTTGAGTCTGAGAGTTGGACAGATACAATTGATTTTTAATGTGTCGTATCCTATACCAAAAACATGAATTGTAATTGGGTAGAACTGTTATCTATGGAAAATATAAGGGGTAGTAGAATCTCTTTTGTGCAATGCAGTTAGAATTAAGAGGACACTCTGCAAGTAACCACAAGGACTATGTATGCAATGTGGTAATGCCGTAATAATAGTCATGCTGCAAAGAATCAAATTTCTTTTTTACACTTAAATATTAGGCTACATAAACCAACTACTGGATGAATTTATCAAGTGCCAAATTATCATAAAAATTAGGAAAATATCCATCCCAAATTATCAAGTGCCACTCTACATCTAATAATTTCAAAGCATTGTTTACCACTATGCTTCAGGATCATATACCTAATGTATCACTTTAAGGATTATTATTTAGTTCCCAAATCACAATAATCCAAAATTAATTTTGGATAGGTTGATGACTCAGCAGTTGAGACACTAATATCATAAAAATATATTGTGAAACTTGAAGAATATGTGCCACATGAAAAAGCATTCAAACTTTATACAGATATAGTAATTTCAGTGAAGATACCCGGTGCCACCCAAGATTCGTCAGAATCACCAGGCATTGGAGCCAACCAGAGAATATTTCTCAGGTTCATTGAATCATCGTATGTCACATTGGACCCTGAAAGAAGAACAAATGATGGAAAAAATTAAATAAATATTTTTCTAAAAGTTGAGTATCATACATATATACATAGCAGCATCAAGTCATTCACAAGGAGGTCTTAAACTTAGCAGCATCAAGTCATTAAGGTTCTCTCGCTTCATCTCATGTATTTACCCTCACCTCGTACAATAAAAATTATGAAGAACTTTGACAAGATTCAGACAATACAATTGTACAGCATTTCCAAACTCAAAACCTATAACAAACTGGAAGATTAACAGAGAAGAAAGTAACTTGAACCATACAGAACATTTACAGATGAATGATACAATGTACCTCTCTGACAAAAACCCATGTTGTACGGGAACACTTGTTTATCATACGCTGGGTATTCCTTTGCATGGAATCTGCCAAAACGTAAAATTGTTGCATTCTTAACTGTAACAAACTTAAAATTTTTAAAAATTGAATTACGTATAATCTATATAATACATACAACAGAGGAAGCAAATCCCCCTTCGGAAAAAGATCCAAACAAGGAAAAAGTAGACATATAGAAAAAGCATCGGAATCACTACTATTTACAATTGAACATACAAGATACCAAGTCTTCCAGAGTCTACCGCTAGAAAAAGGTGACCATGGAACAGATCAAACCGGTTCAAGGTAACATCCAACCCAACTGAAGGACCTCGATCAATAATGAGTTCAAACAAAAACTGCAGATACAGGTTCAGTTCCTGCAATATTTGAGAGAGAAATGCAACTTAAATACTGTATGTATCATTATGAGCTATTTCTATCTATTGTTGAACGAACCTCACAAATGAAGCGTCTGCCATAGGGAGTTCTGGTGAGTTCACACCGTTCTTCCTTTGATCCTTCACAATCAGGTACCTATAATATCAGAGTTCATAACACTACCTGTTCAGATAACAGTGAAGGCATTGGTATCCTAAGAGAAAAAAAGAAAGAAACTGACGGGGTTAATGGTTGGGTCGAGAAGGCGATTAATAGCGTCGGGCTCGCCGCCAGATTCGACGGCGAGACGCGCCAGCTCCAAAACGGGTTCAGGCGGCCACCAAATAAACTCGTTCTGCTCTCTCAGACTTGGACCGATGAGTTTGGGGCGGCCCAAGCCCAACTTCCGGTGAGGAGACTCTACTGGATAGAAAGGAACGAGGAATTTGAAGCATGATTTGAGCTCACGTGCTACCAAGGGATTCACAGCTGAGGACTGATGTTTGGAACCCAAGAGAGACAACAAGTCAGAGGGAGTTGCTTTGGAAGTGGAAGAGGACGAGGGAACGTTACGCTTCCAAGAAAACGGTAACGGTGGCAAGGATGATGACGCCGTGAGAGAAAATGTGAGGAATAAGGCGAATCGAAATGAGATCGAAGGATAACTCATCGTCATTGGAGTTCACAAATAATACGGTTGTGAAGATACATTTAACGTCGACAAGGAGCTATTGTTTGTTGCGTAGTAGGTAGCAAGCATTCTGTTAATCGTTTCGTCTCTAGTAGATAGTGTTGCATCATTGCATATTGCGTTGTAATATAGCAGTTATAAATCGATATCAATACCCAGCTCCTAACATCTGAGGCAAATTCAATAATGGAATGATGGAGCTAGGATGATGCATATTGCATTAGTTGAATGTTGGTTGTACAGAATCTGACATGAACCAGCTTCTTCAATCTAGGGTTTTATTTCGAGATAATAAGCTGTCCGTCAATAATTATGGCAGGTTGAGAACATTACCCTAAATAAAGTGTTTTGAACGCTCCAACTTCAAAATAAAGTGAAAGTATTTGGAGTGCATTAATTACGATATAAATAATGAAATGTTAGTACAACTATTTGTTGGCCAAATTAACTATAATAAATCTAACTCTGTAAATTGTTTATTTTTTTTACATGGAAAATGGTCATAATATTTTGTATCAGCAAAATGATTTCAAACACAGTCAAAATATGTTACGAAACAAACTGAAAAATAGAAAGGGCGGAAAGAAATTTGTAAGGATTATCTTCTGGTTCATCTTGATTGATAGAGACAAAAGATTACAAATTTGCATGTACTCTATTTGATTGTATAATGATTAACGTCAATCACAGTCCCTATGTAAAATTCCGGTGGCAATCAAAGAGTAACCAATGATCAGAACCAAACATTGTATATAATATTTCTTTTTCTTCGTTTTTTCCCTGACATTCTTGTAAAATGTCCATCAACTTTCTTCCTTCTGGCCACTTCCGCTCATAATACCTACAGGTCAGTTTTCTATCATATTAACTGTGGAACATTTCTGGACCCGTAGACATTGAAGACAAATCGTACTGAAACTTGTGACCTGAAAGGCAGCATCGTCACAAAACTTCAGATCATACCCTAAATCAGATAAACATTTATCACGCAGACAAGGATATGAAGTTGTAGCTTTGATGTTAAAGAAAAAAATTTAGATAGTTGATACATATCACATTATGGGCGCATTGTTCGCTAGTGTCAACATAAACTAGTCAGGCCATTTATAGTAGAAGGACTCCAAATAAATTCAACAGAGTAGGCTATGAGGTAACTAGTTCCCATTTGAATCAAAAGACAACTTATTTTTTTCTCCCGTCCCTCTTTTTCACATTATCAACAAAATCTAAACAAAGATAGCCAAACATAATTTATTAAACTGCTCCAAAAACAAACTTTAGGCAAAATCAAAATTAATATGGATTTACATCTTAGCCTAAATAATCGCGACCTGGTTTTCTATTTTTCCTAACACCATATATGCTGTATTCTCACAGAACAGCGTAGGAGCTTCGAGGGACATATACACTTGGCTCTCACTGCCAAAACTGAATCAACAAGCATCTTTGTATCCCCCAGGCCCAAAAAAAAAGGAAAGCATTGTCACAAAAAACTGAATAGAGATTAGAGTGACAAAATAAGCGAGGAAGATATGATTCACTTACATTGACAAGTACGTATCCACTAGAGAGGAACTAGAATTCATCAACAACTTTAATACCAGCACCCTTGTCCCAGTCCTCTGGAGTAGCAACATCTGCCATAATCTTTTCCTGGCCACGCCAAAGAACCTGGAAACAGTGTTCCAGCATTGGTTTGGTCAGCAATGCATGTCAATGAAGAAGACAACCCATTGACACTATATAGCACTTACTCTGTCAATGACCCCAAATTCCTTAGCCTTTGTTGCATCCATATAAAATGGCCTCTTCATCACCTTAGCAACTGTTTCCTCTGACTGGCAATTCAGAAAAGATGCAAATAACAGAAATATAAGATTTGAGTTCATTTTTCCTGAATAAGTATGACAACCTGTGCATGATACTCACATTTCCCGTGTGTTTGGCCAGTAGTTTAACCAGATTGTCTCTGTTAATTATCACCTGCACAAAAAGAATTGTCAATAAACAGACTTTAAAGATAAAATTAGACATCGTTTAGGGTTTAAAAAAAAAAAAAAAAAAAGGGGGGAGAAAGAAAGGACAGGAGAAAATGATGTTCAGATTCCCATTTACATAGAATGAATAATTGCTCCCAGATGTATGACCGAATATGTGACTAGGAATTCCATCAAGTGTTTGCATTTACAATTTATGAGTGAAGATAAAGTATTAAATCTTAAACTAGAAAGGCACTCTAAAACTCATATTTAGAAACTAAAATATGAAAGTCAAAAGGATATATGAGACTCTTGAATTCTAATTGGTAGAACTAAAAAAGCTTTAGCATGAATAAAGTGTAATATGCTACACCAATTTCAAGCTGATTGCCAAACAACCATAACCATTTTAGGAACAAATTTTTTTTGTCATTCCTGGTGACGAAAACTGCAATATAGAAAAAACAATGTAGGCTAACCTCCTTTGCACGAATAAGAACATCACTCGCAGGCATCAACCCAGAGGATGGAACACGAGGCTGCTGAATCATAGCTGAAACAGATATCAATAGAAAACTATTACCTATATAAGGAATAAAAGGAAAAAAAGCTACAAAGTTAAATCCCAACTATACCTTTAGCATTTGGCATCATAAAGCGTTTACCCGGAGTCCCTGCGGAAAGTAGCAAACAGGATTGACCTATGGCAGCTCCAACAGCCACTGTGTGTATCTGCTTGGAATCCCAAAGCCAAATACATGAATGACAAACGATATTTCAAAAATGTTAGTGAAGAGAAAAACACAGCTCAGCAAGGAAGAATAATGCATAATTCTTAAAAGAAAGGTACCCTGCTGTCCATCATAAGTATTAAAAGTAAGTTAGTCAAATTAAGTCATAAACATTAATGCCAATAAAACTGAACTGTGGCATAAAAGGAATTGCCACCATGCTACCAGGGGCGAAACTTATCTATAAAACACCCCAAAAGTTGATGCCATGATTTCACAATCACCATAATTACATCATTATTCATGTTTTCCAGAAACCCAAGGCAACCCACAATCGTTTCTCTCATCATATATTACTACCAAGGTACCATCACCAATTTAACTCAACAAGGCATAGCAGTAGATAATCATTTAAATGCATTTCTTAATAAAAAGAAACAAACCTCATTCTTTAACTGCATCATTGCATCATAAATGGCAAAACCTTCTGTCTCCATGCCTACCTGAATGCAAGAACTCAAAATGCATGAGGATAAAAAGGTAGAAAGGCAGACAGGCAGCTTTATAGATTATCTTACACTGCAGATATAAAGAACACACGAAAAAAGTGTCCATAGTACAACAAACATTTCGTATAAACAGCAAGGCAGAAGCCAATTACCGTTTCACCATCATCTCTCGTAGTCCCCGTGGAATTTATGTAAATATAGATTGGCTCTTTGGGATCCATGTACTGCAAGTACATCAATTCCGCAACAATAAGCTCTGTGACAGCCGGCACCAACTGAAACACAGAATCAGTCATAGAAGGTTGTACAAATTACAACAGTAAAGTATTAACTAAGGGCAACAAGCAGAACTGGCACCCAAAGCACGAGCTCATAAAGCAGTACACAAGTGTACACTTACTGGCATGCCAATGTAAATAATTCTACCATTGAGAAGCAGTGAAGGCAGGTCCGGCGGTGGCCTTCTGGGCCGATGTTCATTGTATGAAACAGACCTTTCAACCTAATTCAACCACACAATTATTCTAGTTACCCCAATAGATAAGCAAAGAGTATTATCCTATGTATTAACTATTTATCATCCTATGTATAAATTATTTGAAAAGAGTATTATCATATATGCATAAACTAATTTATAGAAACTCTCACATATTAGCTTATGTGACAGACGACTTTTAACTTATGGATAAGCTAAAATTTATTTCATTTTTTCCTTCTTCTTTTCTTCTGATGTTACAGATATTTATCTAAAAGTTTATCCAAACAGACCTTATACAAACATGTTTAAATAAATTCCAAAATAAATAAATAAAGCATTCCATCTCTTTCACGACATGTTCAACTAATTTTAATCACTGAAGCTGGGACACTAAATTCTAATTTCAGATTGTTTCACAAACTAAGTACTAAGTACTAAGTAGCACGTTATGTTGCCAGAAAACCTAAACAAACCAACCAGACACATAAGTGAAAGAAAGTGAGAATGAATGTATAATTACTTGAGCGGGAGTAGCCATGAGTTTGGGGTAATCGAAGATGTCGAGAAAAGGAGGGGTGTCGGAATTCCGGGTAGGGTTGAGGAGCATTTCGGGGGAAGAGGCGGCGACGGAGGCGAGCTTCGAGAGAAATGGGTCTTTAGGGTTGAGAGGGGTCATTGGAATTTTGGCTCTGTTAGTGGAGGCCCTAACGGAGCCACTAGTTCTCTGATTTCTGCATCTAGTTCTCGTAGCTGTGGACGGTTGTAAGAAATTGAGCATCGGAACACGCAAATACGCGGCCATTATCATGCTGTGCACCACTGGGTTGAGCAAAGCCTCTCTCTGGCTTATATACAAAATAGTTTTATTACCATGCAATTCATGGGATTCATATGGATTTACTATAAAATTTAAACAAATAATAATTATTAATATATATTAATCGATATGAATATTATACATTATTATATTTATAATATATTTATTTTATATATAATATAAATTAAAGTAGATAAAAAAGTAAAATATTTTTTAAAAATAATTAGAACTTATCTTTCAATAATAAAAGAAATAGTTTTATATATATTTAATGAATAATTATATAAAAAACATATTTGATATATAATATTTATATGTAAAACTAATAAAACAATATTAATTTTATCTATTATTTAATAAATTTAAAAATTTACATAAAAAGTTAAAAAAAAAATCCATTTTAATTTTTACATATAATTAAATTTAAAATTATTACCCAAAAGAAAACTCATTTTTGATTAAAATAGTTGAAAGATAATAAGAAAAAGAAAAAAATCCTGATATAAAATATTATAATAAAAAATAAAAAATTTATAATTACAATAAAATATAATTTTTTAAAGTGATTTAAAAAAGAATCATATAAGTTATTTATGTTGGTAATTAAGTCTAAATCTTCTTCGTTGAGAAAAATATTCATTAAATTATTTTAGACGATAATTTTACATAAGAAATAATATTTATTATGAGTCAAATATACTAATTAGATAAAAAAAACTTAATTTTTACTAAAAAATAAAAAAAAATTATCCCATAAAATAAAAAATAATCATTTGCTTTCACGAAAAAAACTAATCATCACATAATATTTTTCTAATTTTAGACACAAATTTTATATAACAAATATTTTTTATATAATTAAAATTAATATATATATATATATATATACCAAAATAATCTTAAATTTATAAAATACAACAAAAATATTACATAGACTTTCTTTTCTTTTAAAATATTGATTCAATCTCGTGTACTAATACTTTATTTGTTTTAAATACAAAATTTATATAATTGTTTTCTTATGCAATTAAATATCTATTAAATAATTTAAAAAATTAATTTTTAGTCAAAAATATTTTTAAAAAATTAATCTCGTCAAATATGGTAAACTATCCTATTTATTTTTATAAAAAAAAACTTTTCAACCATACCATATATTTTTTATATTTTAAACATTCAATTTATATGAAAATAATCAATTATTATGCATTTAAATATATTAATTATATTCTTCTATATTTTATATTAAATTAAATTTTTTAATAACTATTTAAATAAAAATATACAAAATTGTTAAAAATATATTTAAATAAAAAGTTTCATGTTAAGATAGAGTAAATCATCCGGTTTACTTCTATAAAATAAAATCTTGAACACCTACACGTATGTCTAACATGATAAATCTTTTCTTAAATTATTGTTTACATAAGTATGATAAAAATAGTCAATTACACTTAAAAATTTGAATATTAAATTTTCTATCAAATATCATTAACAAAGGCACAAACCTATCTTATATACAATATAAAACATAAGAATGAAATAATGTCAAAACAAATATTAGAAGATAAGCTTATATCTCTATAAATAGTTTTGTGTTTTTTATTAGTCTCTATAAATATTATTTTGTTTATAAAATAATTATCTTATTTTATTTTATATTTTTTTAAGTTAAAGAAATACTATTCAAAAGCAAGTTAAATATTATTTATTCAATTACAAAGTATAAATTCAACTCCTTATATATATATTTTTTTCTACACATTAGTATTATCATTATGTTCCTTTTACTTTTTATTTGATAATCTATTTGTGCAAGGTATTTATCTCTCGTAAAAAACAAAACCATATAATTAGAATAAATATGAAGAAAAATTTTACTGTTAAAAATAAACAAATTTGACCATTATAGTAGAAGAAATGTTTCTAATTATTTAATACTTATACAAAATTCTATTTATTAAAATGAATTTGATTTATAGTGGATAAAGTAAAAAAAATACACAAATTATATTGTTTTATTTTTTTAAGAATTTAAGAGATATTTGAATTTGTTCATTACTAAAATTTTCCATATTCTTGTTTAGGAATGTTGATTATTGATGAAGCACAATATCAATGTCAAATTTAGTATTTAAATCACTATATGTAATTGAAAATTTAGTTAACACATAGTGAAAAGAAAAAAAATTAGAAGAAATAAAAGTTTATATTTATTATAAATTTAATATTGAAATAAAGATTAAAATATTACATATATCACACCAAAATAAACTAAAGTTTAATCACAAATCTTGAGAGAAATGAGTAAAGAAAATGAGACTTTATATTTACTTTCACTTAATATTTTCACATAAAGAGAGGATAACTAGCATATGACATGGTTCGATCTGGTTTGGTTTGGTTCGTCCAATTAAACTATTTAGTTTGGTTTTGTTCCTTTTGATTTGGTCCAGTTCAATGTTATCCGATTCGATCCAGTCCATTTGAATCATCAATTCAGTCTAGTTTGTTTTTGTCTAAATGAATCACATAGTTCAATTCAATTTAGTTGAATCATCCGATCTAGTTTGGTTTGATCGAGTTGAACCATTTGATTTGTCTGATTTGATTAAATCAGCTCATTTGATTTAGTCTAACTTGATTGAACAATTCATTATGATTTTGTTCGGTCTAGACAGTAATTTTAGTCCATTTTAGTTTAATCTAGTTGAACCATATAGTCCGATTTAACCGTTTGATCTAATATAGTCTGATCAATTCTAGGTTAGTTCGATTCTACTGAACTGTATAATCTAATTCAGTTTGGGTGAATTGTATAATTTATTCCAGTTAAATCAACGTATATAATGTTATTGATCCATTTAATCTGGTTTGATTTTATCTAATTGGATCATTCAATAATTTAATTTGATTGGATTGTAATACAATCTTATTGAATGTTACTAATATTTTTTTAAAGAATTTTATTATCTTCTTTTTTGAGTTTATATATTATTTGTAAGAATTTTTTCAATTTAATTTAATGATGAGGTTTTATAAAATTTATATTTTTATAATTTATTATTTGTATTTTAATTTTTATAACTTATAATATTATTATAATCATGTGAATAAGAGTAATATTATAAATCAAATGGAAATTTATTATAAAAATAATTAATTACTATATTTAAATTTTAATTGAATATTATTAAAGATAACAAATAATAATTTTATTACATTAAAAAGAAATTATTGATCATAATTATTAGTATTTTCAAAATTTTCGGAATTCAAACTTTAACAAATTTTTTCATGGAATAAGTGGTTTAAATCTTTGATAGTTCAAAGTATTAAATGCATTTGAGAATTTAGTTAACTGGAAAAAAATGAGAAGAAACTAAATTTTGAAAGGAAAATTAAAATGTTACATAAATGACATTAAATATCTCTACAATAATCATAATATAGTCCAATTCAGATCTAATTTGGTTTAATTCAATTGGTTTGATTTAGTTGAATCGTCTTATTTGGTTTACTTAGATTGAATTGGTTCAGTATAGTTAAATCAATCAATCTGGTTCAGTCTAATTTGGTTTAGTTGAGTTGAATAGTTGATTATAATTTAGTTCGGTCTGAATGATTATTTTTATCTGTTTTAGTTTAATCTAGTTTAACTATACAATTCAATTTAAGTGCTGGTATGGTCTAATTGATTCATCTATTCAATCTATCTTGATCAGGTTCGATTTGATTGAATTGTCTAATCCGATTTAGTTTGGTTAAATCATATAATTTGTTCCATTTAAATACACTTATATACACTTATATGGTGTCATTGATCCATTTAATTTAGTTTGATTAAATTATTTGATCCAATCCGGTTAAACCCTATTATCTGATTTGATTGAAACCATTTTCATCCAATTTCATTGTAATACTATGATCTTGAATAATTTTTTTTTTAAGAATTTTACAATCTTCTTTTTTGAGTTTATATATTTTATCATTTTTAAGATTTTTTTTCAATTTTATTTAATGATAAGATTTTATAAAATGTACATTTTTATAATTTATTTTTTGTAATTTAATTTTGTATAACTTATAATATTATTACAGTAACGTGAACAAGAGTCATATTATAAATTAAATGAAAATATTATAAAAAACTAATTAATTATTGTATTTAAACTTTAATTGAATATTATTAAAGATAATAAATAATAATTTTACATTAACAAAATTATTAATATTTTCATAATTTTTTGGAATTCAAATTTTTAAATTTTTTTCTCAAATAAGTGGTTTAACATATGTTGTTCCATTTAAAAATATATATATATATATATATATATATATATATATATATATATTTTAAGAGTTTAGTTTTAATACTTTCACCATTTTTATCTGTTTCAATTCGAGTTTTTTTTATAAGACAAATGTATTAAATTTATGAACTTTGGTAATTTATTTAGTAGACTTGACAAAATTTATAATAAGAAGAAATAAAGTATATTTAGTTTTAGTTTTTGTATTTTGAATATATAGATTTGTTTTTTCTTATGTTTCTTCCTGTACTACTTGCCTTGATAAATCTTTGTCAGAACTAACTGTGTTTGGTACATGAAAACTTAGGAGAGAGAATGAAAATAAGTGGAATATTAGGAAAAAAAGAAGAAGAGAAAATCAATTTTAAAAATGTAAGATTTATTATATTATTTTTTATTTATTTTAATTTCTTTTCTATTTCTTCCTACTAAAAGTTATTTTTGTTCTTGAAGTGTTGTTTTTGTATTAACGTAAGAAAAAATGGCTGAAAAGATTTCGGCCGCGCCAATTGGAAAAAGAAAAAGTTTTTGTAGTTAACCGAAATAGATATTTATTTAGCAGACTATGGTATTGTGACCAATCTTGGACGTAACTCAGCAGCTAGGTATATAGAGTAGGCAAATGCCTTGAAGAAGATGAAAGATGACAAATATTCTTTTTCTCATGGTCAGACACAAACACATGGCACAACAACAACTAGACACAGAAGAAAAGAATAATTATGACTTAGAGATACCATTCACATTGTCCATTGCAAATGTTCTTCCTCAACTCTTGCACCTCTGTAGTGGGGCCAATATCATCCCAAAAAGCTATCTCACCAATCATTTAATACTCTACACGTAAATAGCTAAGCATATAAATTGAGAATGAGGTACAACTCCTTAGAGCAGCAGCAACAATAAGAATTTCCAAACCTCAATTCCTTCATATCATTATCTCATTCTTAACATGTCTTCTTCACCGATCTTGAGAGGCAAAAAATTGGTAACTGATGACAGGCCTGATGATGCATTGAGGCCAAGTAGGCATCAGGTGAAGAGGTGTTTTGCTAAGTACATTGAGAAGGGGAGAAGGGTCATAAAAGTTCATGAGTTGATGGAAGAAATGGAGCATGTAATAGATGACAACACTGAGAGAAATCAAGTATTAGAGGGGAACCTTGGTTTCTTGTTGAGTTGTACACAGGTTTTTTCTTTGCTTTGTCTTGTGTGTGTATGTTCCAATGTGATATCATTTAGCATTTGATTATAATGTTGTTGGGTACCTGAAACTTGCAGGAAGCTGCTGTTGATCCACCTTATGTTGCCTTTGCAGTAAGGCCAAATCCTGGAGTTTGGGAATTCGTAAGAGTGAGTTCTGAGGATCTTTCTGTTGAACCAATCACTTCCACAGATTATCTCAAATTCAAGGAAAGTGTATATGACAAACAATGGTATGTCATTCTCTCAGTATCTTGCTTCTCCCCCTCGTTTGCATTTATTTTTTTAACAAACCCTACTCACCCCAGTTCTGATATTCACACTTTATCAAGACAATCTAATATATATATATATATATATATATATATATATATATATATATATATATATATATATATATATATATATATATATTCCCTTGTAGCAGTAGTAGACTAATACAAGTTTATGGACTTCAAAAATTTGCATCTATAATTTCTCATTGATTACCTATATTATTTTCAAAATAGGAGGTAAGTTGAAATGAGAGTTGTTCTCAAGAATCCAGATGTTATTTTTTAATTATCATTTTTTTTTAAATTAAATTAATTTTAATAAAAAATAAATTTTAAAATTTAAAATTTATTTTATTTTATTTTAATATAGTTATTTTATAAAATATATAATTTTTTAATTATTTTTTATCTTATATTAATTTTATTATATTTTTATCTTAATTTAATTATTATTCGTTTTATATTATTTAATATATTTTATATTTATAATTTTTATAATATATATTGACTATAATAATATTTTTTATTTTTTTTAAATATTATTATTGTTAAATTTATTATATATTTATTATATTATAAAAATATTATTTTATTAAATCTGATTAGAATAAATTAAATCATTAATTTTTTTTCTATTTTCAAATATATTGATTATCTATTTTTAGTTTTCACTTATGTATTAAAGTCACTGAAATTTATTCTAAGTTTCCTAACAATAACAATTTTTTTCTTTTATAATAACAACAATAGAAATTATAAATTACATTTTTCAATGTTAATTATTTCAATTTTGTTGAGTTTTTTTATTTGAACAAAAATTAAATATATGTTGCTTACAATAATATGAATAACAGAGATAGTAAATTAAGTTTTTTCAGTGTATAAGTAAATTATTTGTATTGGAGAATCGCTAAGAGGAAACAAGTCTCATGCTATTGCTTTGCAATCATGTAATTAACTTCAAGCTAGTAGTGAACAATAATGAAAAGAATGTCACTTTCATGTTAATATTCATTGTTATCTTTTGAAGTATACTTCTAGAGAAGTACTAGCCTAATGTATATGAACTTTGTGTTTAATACTTGTACCTTGCCACATGAAAATAGCCTCTAACAGCAAGACTAGTTAATTATTTTGGTAACTTGTTTTGAACATTAACTTGATGGGTCTATGTTACAGGGCAAACAATGAAGACGCATTTGAAGCAGACTTTGGAGCATTCGATTTCCCTATTCCGAGCTTGACCCTGCCTTCTTCAATTGGAAATGGACTCCATTTTGTTTCGAAGTTCTTGACTTCAAGATTTAGCGGGAAACTGACTAAAACACAACCTATAGTGGACTACTTGTTATCACTAAATCATCGAGGTGAAGTAAGTGGAATAACAACATCAAAGTTCACAAAACATTACCAACAACTTTTCCTTTTTCATTAGACATACTTTTGAATATTAATCTTCCCTTTTGTCATCTAGAACCTGATGATAAGTGACACCCTCAGCTCTGCTGCAAAGCTTCAGCTGTCACTAATGGTGGCTGATGGACATCTCTCAGCACTTCCCAAGGATGCCCCTTATGGGGATTTTGAGACAAAGTAACCCCATTCATATTTCTTAAACTGGACTATATTGGTGCTTGCTCACTAATTTAATAATCAATACCATTTTCATTCATAGGTTCAAAGAGTGGGGATTTGAGAGAGGATGGGGAGATACTGCAGGAAGAGTGAAGGAGACAATGGGAACTCTATCGGAAATACTCCAAGCTCCTGATGCAGTGAACCTGGAGAAGTTTTTCAGCAGAGTTCCCACAATTTTCAATGTTGTGATATTCTCTATTCATGGTTATTTTGGACAAGCAGATGTTCTTGGCTTGCCAGACACTGGTGGACAGGTAGCACTTCTGAACTTCAGTTATTAAGTGAAAATCATGGAAATGATTTGCATGTTTTACAAGTTACAATTCCGGCCATCTTTAAAATTATGAAATTTGGAGCAGGTAGTGTACATATTGGATCAAGTTAGAGCACTTGAAGCTGAGCTGTTGGTCAGAATTAAGAAACAAGGCCTAAATGTAAAGCCTCAGATTCTTGTGGTAAGTTATCATGCAAAAAAGTCACCTCTTATTATACAACTTACTTGACAGAATTATGCAAGTATTTTATTGACCATGGAAGGTCACAAGACTCATCCCTGATGCTCAAGGAACCAAGTGCAATCAGGAGTTGGAACCAATCGTTGGAACTAAGCACTCCAATATTCTACGTGTTCCTTTTCACACAGATAAAGGAATCCTGCGTCAATGGGTTTCTCGCTTTGACGTATATCCATATCTTGAGAAGTTTACTCAAGTATGTACATATGAACCTTTACTTGGTAGCTTTTATATGTAACTTTTCCATCTGATCAATCTATGGTTCATGTAAAAAGGATGCCACAGCCAAGATTCTCAGCCTCATGGAAGGAAAACCAGATCTTATTATTGGAAATTACACTGATGGGAATTTGGTAGCGTCTCTCATGGCTAACAGACTTAGGATAACTCAGGTTACTACCCACTAACTGAAAATTTCATATTCAGCAACTTTTGTGACTGTAAAGATGTCCTTCTTGCTGGATAAATTAATTCCTTAGGTTGCTTACAAACCAGGGAACTATTGCACATGCTTTGGAGAAGACTAAGTACGAAGATTCGGATGTGATGTGGAAAGAGTTAGATCCCAAGTATCACTTCTCATGTCAATTCATGGCTGATACAATTGCAATGAATGCATCAGATTTCATCATAACCAGCACCTATCAGGAAATTGCTGGAAGGTTAGATGTCGTATTAAAAAGAAATGACTTTTGACATCCTTTCCCTATTAGTTGGAAATTGAAGTTTTGTCACACTCAAGAAATTCACTTACATAGTTTATAAAATAGTACCAATACCAAAATTGAGAGAAACAAGGAAAACTAAAAATAATGAAGATAAATCAACTGAAATTTGTAACATTAAGTGCTTTCTTGTTTGCAGCAAAGATAGACCAGGACAATATGAAAGTCATGCTGCATTTACACTCCCAGGGCTGTGTAGGGTTGTTTCAGGGATAAATGTATTTGATCCAAAGTTCAACATAGCTGCACCTGGAGCTGATCAGTCTGTCTATTTCCCTCACACAGAAAAAGACAGAAGACTAACTCAATTTTATCCTGCCATTGAAGACCTGTTGTACAGTAAAGTGGATACCGATGAACATATGTAAGCGACTTAGTTGCATCTGTTTTGTGGTTACTGTTCAGACAAGAATTCCTATATTCTTCCAAATGGTTAACTTCTTCTGCTAATATATCATTTAAACAGTGGATATCTAGAAAACAGGAGAAAACCCATCATCTTCTCAATGGCAAGGTTTGATGTTGTGAAGAACTTAACTGGGTTAGTTGAGTGGTATGGAAAGAATCAAAGATTGAGAAAAATGGTGAACCTTGTCATAGTTGGAGGCTTCTTTGACCCCTTGAAATCCAAAGACAGGGAGGAAATGGCAGAGATAAGAAAGATGCATGATCTGGTAGAAAAGTACCAACTGAAGGGTCAATTCAGATGGATTGCTGCACAGACTGATAGATATCGCAATGGAGAGCTCTACCGCTTCATTGCTGACACAAAGGGAGCTTTTGTGCAGCCTGCTTTGTACGAAGCATTTGGTCTCACTGTCATTGAAGCAATGAACTGTGGTTTGCCTACTTTTGCCACCAACCAAGGAGGTCCAGCAGAAATCATTGTTGACGGAATCTCTGGCTTCCACATTGATCCCCACAACGGCGAAGAATCAAGCAACAAAATTGCTGATTTCTTTGAAAAATGCTTACAGGATTCAACACACTGGAATGGAATTTCAGCAGCAGGATTGCATCGCATAAATGAATGGTAAACATGCAACTTCAACTTCATAGATACATATTAGGATTATTATTGTTTAGCATTTAGATTACTATTATGGATTGCTAGAAGGATTATTCCCTTCTCACGGCTTTTTCTCTAGCTACACATGGAAGATCTATGCAAACAAGATGCTGAATATGGGGAACATCTATACCTTCTGGAGGCGGGTGAATAATCAACAGAAAGAGGCAAAGCAAAGTTACATTAAGATGTTCTACAATCTCATGTTCAAGAATTTGGTAAGTGAGCATATTTTGTTCTTAGAAAGAAACATATGCAGAACAATCATTATCATGCAATATGTGAATGACACAGGTGAAGACTATACCTGTTGCAAGTGATGAACCTCAAGAACAGCAACAAACACTGTCTAAGAAGCAAAGTGTCAAAAAACAAGGCACACGGTATGTCGCATCATCAAGAAAGAATATTCCTTAAATACATTTTTTAGTGCAATCCTTTTTCTGGTTAAGTTGTTTACCAGTGACATAGTTATGTTTGCTGAGATCAACCTGTCAATAACAGCTTTATGTTACATAGGATATTATGTCGTGTATGCCATCATTATATTAATTTAATATCAATATCATGTCAGTAAATATGGGGCAGAACAAATTATTTAATTAATGACATTTTTTTAAATAACAAAATTCAATTAATAAAATATTGAACTTTCTCTAACATTTTTTTTTCTCTCTCTCTTTTCTTGCCACAGGAAACGTTGAGGGTCAGGTTTACAAAGGTAAGATTTTAACTAGTTGTCTTGGATTAGGTCATGATTTCAGTTGTGTATAAACTCAGGTTGTTTCTTCTTTCAGTTTATTTTGAGCTTCATAATCTAAAGTCTCAATCACAGAGCAAGTGAATTGTTACGACATATCTTGTGACACTGCTTAACAGTGATCTCTGTATATATTCGTATCTATATCACATTAAATTACACCAATTATTACATCATTAACAATTCTATAATGTTAATTTTATCCAACTAATATTCTAACTATTTATTTCATTGATAGTTTATGTGAAATTTAATAAATAATAAACAATCAAATGGTGAACAAAATTTTCATATTTATTATATATTTAAGAAAATTAATATCATTTTTTATAAACTTTATTTAAATAAAAGGAATTCCCAATCAAATTAAATATTTTTAAGAATAAGTTAATTCATTTTTTTCTCTCTTCTATGTAGGGGAGGAATTAAATTATAGATTATAACTTTTATTAGCTATTATAACATCTATAATTTTCAAGTAGGTATTTTTTTCCAAAACTTTTAGCTAGATAGAAATTTCTTTCACATACATAAATTATATTGATTAACAAATAGTTTATATCTTATTTTTATTCATATTGATAAAATAAACATAATATATTTGTCAATATTAAAATATGATAAATTTGGTTGTGTTTTATTATTGTCAAATTTAAAAAATTAACATAAATAATCATGATAATATAAAATTATATTTTTCATTTGAGTCTATAAAATTCACTTGATATAAAAAAAGTATTCACTTTGTAATAATTAATAAAAAAAAGTACGATATAATTTATCTTTATATATGAAGTTAAACGATAAAGCCTAAAAACACCAAAAATATGTCAAAGACGTAAGTGAATAACTCTTCAAAATATATTTTCATTCCATAATAAATCCTAAAAAAAATATTAAAAAATAATTTACGTAACTCAAGGATGGGCATTTAAATTTAAAGATAAAACAATTATCTTTTGCCATGTTTTTAAGATTTTTTTTTTACATTCTTTCACATTTTTTTTCTTATTTCATGCACTAACAAATTATGAGAATTTTCTGTTAATATTATTAGAAATTACGTTCTGAAAAAATATCCCTGTTTTAATTATACTCTTTTCGAACCTCTTATTTATTTTATTTCGTTACGATTCTATTTTTCTCGTTTCTTATTAATTGGCTCTATCTTCTAACCTTGCATGTGTATATGAATCATAATGTTAAAGTAAAGGATTACAAATCAACAAACAAAGTTTTTTACATGAAAAAAATAAAAATAAACCATATTTTCCTTAAGTGTTTAATAATAATGAAGAATGGTAGAAGAAAAAAATAAAAATGAATAAATTTAAATAAAACAGATAAAAACAGTACTTAATAAATTTAAAAGTATAATAACAAAAATTGAGCGAAAAAATAATTTTCTAACTTAATATGCTACTGTCAATATTGTGAACATAGTTGTTGTGGGCCAATTGAATTAATTGGGCTCTAACTTCACCAAACCCATTTTTCCCATCTAACTAAGCCTGAGGTTTTGGGCCTCCCATGTTTTTTCAGTCTACGTAAAAGTATGCATTTTTTTATTTTCATTTTTTTTTTAATTTCAAATCACTGATTTTAATCTTCCATATTTATGGATAATACGTACTTAATATTAATAACAATAATATGTGATTTTGAATGATCATTTAACTTTTTATTAAATATATAACTATTTATTTATATAATATTAAGAATAAATTAATAATTTGGAATTTTAGAAAAATAATAATAAATAATATTAAAGATAATTCGTTTTATATAAATTAAATATATATTTAAACTTAATTTTTAAAATTATATACAACATATAAAAAATTACATTCCAGATGTACCACCGACTTGCAAGAAAGAAAAAGGGGAGAGGTGTTATGAAAATTTTCATAATATCATTTCAAAAGTTTATATATAAATAAGCAAAAAGAAAAAAATATGATAAAGAGGCTATTGTAAAAGTGTGAAAATATATAATTGAGATGTGAGAAAATCAAATTATCATTTTTTAAAATAGCGAATGTTATTGTAAAAGAATGAAGGATAAAATCTAAAAATCAAAATAAATACTTTTAAATTATTGTTTTTAAGTCTTTATAAAATATATAAGTTTTTACTTTAACTTGTGTAAAATACATTTATTTATTTTCATGAACAAAAAATTTAAATTTACAAACTTTTATTTTAAGATAGAAAAATAACATATATTTTACATATCATAATTTATTAATCCACATCACTGGTAATAATCACTGAATTTTTCGTTCAATATATAAATCATTAAAAAATATTATGTATTATAAAGGGTAAAAGAATAATAATTTTTAATTTGAAATAAATTTACAAAATAAACACACTATTTTAAGGGACAAAAATATATTAAAGCCTGAAATAAATGTTGATTAAACTAAAAAGACGTGTACGTATATAATTATTGGGCATCCATGAAAAGGACAATGTTGCCCTAGAATGGCGTGGTATTGTGATGTTAGTTAACGCATTTATGTAATGAAATTGGAATAATATTCAGCAGATGTACTTGTTGCCAAAGTAAGGTGAGAGATGATGATGATGTTCCATGAACCACTATAATTAAGGGCTCGTGATTATGACAAATTGTTTGAAGTAGGAGAAATGTTACCAAACAGGTGCACATTTTTTCTACTATTAATTGAAAATAAATAAATAAAAAATGCATCGTTATAAGCTAGGTCATTGTTCACCAAATCCGTACCGGTCATGTCACGTAGTTATTCATCATTTCATACGTTAGGTTTGTGAGAATTGAGAAAATGAAAATCAAATAAATAATTGACCTTCCACGTCAAACACTGCCTGCACCTTACACTAATTACTGTGGTCCCCAATTTTCATGGTATATGAAATCCCTCGTCTTAATTATTCATAAATAAAACCAATCAAACTCTTCCTGCATACTTGGTAGTAGAATTTTTTGAAAAAAAGATTCCCATGGTTTTGGTTTCCCAAAGGGACCACTTTCATCTTCAAATTCTGATGGAACCCATTCTTAACAAACCAACCATAAAAAATATATATAAATGCTGGGGATTTCTATTTTTTTCTTCTCTGTTATGGTGCCAAATTTTATATTATCATATACACATTTTATACTACAAAAACTCCTCTGCCGCAACTTGTTTTCTGCCATTAATTTATTACCTTCCTTCTTTCTATTCTTATCCTTTTCTCAACGAAGAAAATGAGGAATTAAATTTTGTTTGATCTTAAGTTTTAGCTTATAGAGAAAGTTAATCAAATTTGCAATTGCCTCAAACTTAAGTTTGTACTTGGATTTTGAAATAAAATTTCTCAAGTCCAACGAAATCTCATAGTAAAACGAGTAAAATTCAATTACAAACAACAACTATTTATTGGCATGCGTGAAGAGTAATAAACCATCAAAATTAGAATTTCAACTTCAACTTCAACCCTATGCAAATATTCATCATGAAGTCTAGAAAATGAAAAATCGAAGATAGTAATTGATAATAATAATAAAATGATGATGAATGAGTGACATTGAAGAGTAATTATTTATCGGCAACAGGACAATAATACATAATAAACAAACATTGAATATCTTCACCATGTGTACAACGAAACACGAACACGAAATATTAAAAAAGAAAGGAGAATAATAATTTAGCTTCTGCACCTGGTGATGGCGCTGCAGCCACGGCTGTAGGGGTTGGCCTGAGCGCCAGGCTGGCAATTGTAGTAAGAGGCGCCGCGGCGAGAGCAGGGCACGGTGTTCCTCTGGAGCGCACCGTAGCTTATGTAATTCGTGGTGGCTAAGATGCGCCGGTTGATCTCACTGTCCAGCTGGAACTCTTCCTCCATGGAGGGCATCCACATCATTTCCATCCCCACCGCTCCCGCCTCCGCTGTCGGCGACGAAGACAGCAGCAAAACGGTGGCGCAAATCGCGAGGAATAGCCACGAATACGTGTTCGCCATTGATGATTCTGTTTCTTTGTTTGTTGAGGCTGTTTTCTTCGTCCTTATTCCCTGTGTTTGATACGAATGAACGAACCTTCGAAGGAGCTCACAATAACAACCTTTCTCTCTCTGTTCCTTGTCGCTTTGGTTTTGCAGAGTAACGGCAGCATTATCAGCGACCAGTTTAAAAGACCCTTGCGTTCAACAATGACACTCGATTATCCAATATTTACATTCCTGCCATTCCAATTAGAAAAATCTAACTAACATATTTGTATATTTTGTAATGCACCGAGTTTTCCATAAACATTTTGTAAAAAATTAAAAGTGATTGTTATGATAATTAATATTAAGTTAATGAAATAATTATATATAACGATGAATATATATTTTACATCTTAGTATTATCTGTGATGAAAACATCTGATAAAAAAAGTTCCATTTACATGCAGTAGTTAAGCACCACAGCAATTTTCTATGATGTGTGCTTTAGTTTTATATTCACCTGCTACTTCAACCGTATCAATTTTCAAATGTTAGAAAGTATCTTTCTTTTAATATATATGATTTTTAAGAATATATAATTTTAGTGAATAACAGATGATAGAGATAAAGTATATTCCTTTTAATACAATGATGGATAACAGCTAAGTTTCTCACGTAAGGATTTAGATATATACAAGACAGAAAGCGAAGAGAATAATAAGTAATTGATAATTGGATAATACAAGTGTGGCATTGAGGAGAAGAAGAAGAAGGTGGGAACAGAGTAAAGTCAAATTTTATTCCATTTCAAGTTTCTTTTGAATGTTTTTTTAAGAAATTATATTTATTTTGTCAATTTTGATTGTATTAGTAATTTGCAAAGTTAAATTTTGTAGAAGTTCATAATGGTCTTTTCTTCTTGCATGGTAAAGATATGGTGCTGCACTTGAAATAACTAAATTATCCTTCAACTTTTCAAACTTCTCGATATTTAAAAAAGAAGAAGATAATAAATAAATAAATAAAATCACCTGTTGTATATAGTTAGATAGATAAGAAAAAAGACTCATTATATCAGAATATCCATTGCCTTTGACAAAGTTACATATATTCTACAGTTTTGCATAGAATGGAAAAATATGCAATGATATTCAATCTTTTTGCCCTTTTCGGTGTCAACTTACTGTTTAGTTAATTAAGATTTGGACCTTATCAAACTTTCACCTTTTGTATAATATTGGTTTTCTTTTTGGTAACAGAAGATAAAAGAACAAAACAAAGTCAAAAGAAGATTACATTAGGTTGGTAAATGTGGATATTGATTATGGTTTAACTTAATTTCACTATCTTTTTATGTTTGTCCTTGTCTTTTTCATGTTTTGAGGGATTTACAGGAAAAGGAAAAATGATTCCTGATGGGGGAATAGCCCTCGAAGGAAGTTATATCCATTTTACACAAAACTCAACCACATCTCTTTAACATGGATATTTTGGTCTTATTATATTTAAGAAAGGGGAGAAAGGGTTGTTATTAGTTCAACTTCAACTTTGGTTGAAAGTGTCTATGTGGTTGAAGAAGAGATCAAGACAAAATTAGCATCAAGGCACAAAGTTGTCTAAGTTATAATGTGGATTGATTGCAAATGGCACCAAAACCAGCCCCTCTTGTTTTCCTATGGTGGCTCCACCATGGAGCACTTATGAATCAGAAAATTCACCAGAAAAAACGACCACATACCAATCTTTTATATTACAACTCTGACCTGCACACACATCAGTACGGTGGAATCTGAAATTCAGTCTCAGGTATAATTGCAGTACTGAGAAATACAGACCACACCAGATTTGTGCAGAGTAGAAAAACTGACGGGCTAATTAAGATTTTCAGCAACAAAAAAGCTTGTTAGGACTTATGAGATTCACATAACTTGCTAATGCATTCGAGCTGAAGAAATTTGCAACTGAACAATCCATGCTATAGATCCTTCATAAAAGTTAACACTGATTTATCATTTATTTGTATTTCTCATATTTCAATGTTATACAAGAATCTCTGATTTAGACATGGGTATTATTTTAAATTCTTTATTTTAGGTTTATGTCTCTAAATACCACCAGTGTGCAGGAAAATAATCCTCCATTTTTTCATCATAACGATATAGAAGTCTTCCATTTTTAAATTATTTTTACCGTTAGATCACCAGTTTTCATTCACCTAAAATTTTAAAATTATTAAACTATTTTAAATTTCACTTGGCTTAAAAATTCACATATGAAAGTGTAATATTTTATAAAAAAAATTACTAAAATTCCAATCTTTTAATTAATGTTATATCAATATCTATTCATATACAATTATTTTATATAATTTTCTTATTCATAGTCGTTTGTTTCTATATGAGCAACACATTTGTTTTATGCTATATTATTTTATACAATTATCTTGACGATTTTTTTTATGCTACTCCCACAAAAGAAAATATAAATACTGCTGGAGAAGGTTCTCTTTGTTTGTGGCATGTTCATTTTAGAGAGATCACTCTTCTTTTTACCAAGTGAAAATGAAAAAAAAAAACCATTAAGTAATAAAACAGAGGAGTGCAGTATGAATAAATCTCTTTAGTGTTCTTGGTCTTGTGACAGCAATATTTGAAATGACAAGATCATTTAAGTTGATTGTGCTAATATCAGGCGCAAATAACTTTTCTTGGTCTTGTGACAGCAATTCTGTCATTATTTTATGAAAGCGGCATCAACATTTGTGTTGAACAGGAGCTTACATCATCAACCTTTTCTAATTAATGACGAACAAAAATGAAAGGTAAAGTCCCAGGGGGCAAGATATGATATATGAAATTATTCTTTTAATTTAACTTTGTTCTTTAAATTTTATTTCGCTGCACCAAACTTCTTCCCTCGCTACGCTTTGCATAAAAATTCCAAATTAATTAATTAATTTTAATTAATCCAATTTTGACTTATTTAAATTAGGTCGGGTAACTTGCAATCAAAATTAGTTGAGACTCGTGACTATTACTAGATATCACCCAAGCGTTTTATTCCACATGCATTTTGAAATTAAAGACGGTTTAATTGAATAATGAGATTGGTTTAGTCAAGTACTTAAGGAGATATAGATAAGATAACCCAAAAGAATATATTTTTAAAATTACCTTTAACTAAATAGAAGAATACCATTAAGAGGTGTCTTTGTGTGTGTTTAATTAAATGCAGGAGCACATGTAAGATAGTGAAATAGTTTTTGAAGAATAAAAAAAGTTGAATCTGTCTCACCAGCCAGCAGCAGAGGGAGAAAGAGAGGAGAGTGGTTGGGAGAAGAGGGGTTGGGACCCGCAATACATCTCTGGCCAGACGGTGTTTACGCGTTCCAAAGCTACTCTCAGTCCCAGTTCCAGCTGCCATACGATGAAATCAATTAATCAAATACTATAAATAAAAAAGTAATATTTTTCTTAGGTCAATAGTCAATAACGTCCCCTCTGTTCAACAAACTACGATGGGACGCAAACCTCCTCTAATCACTGTTCTTTATAGTATTTCTAAATCACTACGCTTTTAATCTTTTATTTTTTATTCATTCTCTGAATGGGGACAAGGTCGGACGCCATCACTTCATTTTCAGACGCCCTCCCAAGTCCCAGCTCACGATCAACGTTTTACTATTCATTTACATTCAAACACCACATAATTACAGAAAAAATATTTCTCTAATTTTATTATTTCCCATCATGTTAACTTTTATCAATTCTACACAATAAACTAATTTTATTTTAATCTTGCCTTAAACTTTACCTAATTTACACATATATATGTTGAAATTTAAATTTGTTCTAATTAATTTTAGATTTTATCTTTTAAATAAACATATTATTTTTTATTTTAATTAATCCTTAAAATTTGCCCATTTTTTATAAATGATTTTCAGAAAATATTTTTTTAACTGATTCACGATATTAAAAACAACTTGTATTATCATTTAATTCATTCATTTCTATTAAATTAAATTCGGTGTTTTCAAATAAAATTTTGGATTTGAATATTGTTAGACTTCTATCAATTCAGGATACATACATTACAATTCACTCTTCAAACTTATAAAATTAGTTTTAGAAAACAAATATAATTAACCAAATTTTTGAATCGTGAAGAATCAAGTAACGATGTCTAAAATATAAACAAAAAAGTATTAAGTAAATATGAATCTAATTCTTTTTAAAACTAACGTGGCGATGGATTCAATTACATGTTTAGACAACACGTAGAATAGATGAACCTCTTCAACTATTTTGGGTCATACAATGAACCTCAACATCACATATGTTATCAATATTCACATACTCTATCAATATTGAAATAAATCATGTTAGATAAAAAATATCACATTAATAAATAATTCATATCAATATGATGATTTCAAAAATCACATACTTTAGAATTAAACTTTCTTCACTTCATATATATTTTTGGGACATCCCCCATCCATTTCCATATAGATTTTTCAGAATGTAAAAATAAATTTAAAAGAAGAAAAACTCATTTTGAATCGAATGAATGGATGGGACGTGATCCAGAAGTTTATCAAGTGCAATAAGAAACATCCTATAACTTAATATAGATGTGAATGACTTATCACAATGAGAAAAAAATGCTGAAATATAAGTATAAATACTTTTTATTCAGAGAAATAATCCCAATTTTGCAACCAAATAAGAGTTATTGAAACATGCTATACATATTCAAAAGAATAACTACAAGGACTTGATAAGTTCACGCAGTTGAAATTCTAAATCCAAGAGCTAAAAGTATAGAGAACTACAACTGTGCGGGTATTTCTAAATTTGTAAAATTATATAAAGAAAGAAGCAAAAAAGGAAAATATTAGATTAGCTTTTCTTTTTGTTACAATAAGGAAATAAAGAAAAAAGATCATCATAGTTAAACAATGATGAAATTCATTGTCGATAATGAATATTTCATTTAATTATTTAAAAATAATACCATTGTCCATTGATTAGTGTAAGGGTTCTGGGGTACATAGGAGGGTCAAGAACAGACTAATAGGGAGAATACAGAAGCTTGTGCGAACATATTCTGTATCCTATGTTTGAAGGGAAGCTAAAGGTAGACTAATTATGGGATAAAAGCATTTCAGTACAAATGAAGTGATTGTACACTGTCATCAACCGTGCATAAATTTGGGAAGATATATATGATACAGGGAAACCAAATTAAAGTGTGTTTATATGCACAAGGAAATTGCTGCAGAAGACCAGAATTGGTGTTTCTAACCGGCGGATTTAATAGTATAATATGTACAAGAAACTCAGCAATAGATGGCTATTCAATCATTTTAAATGATGGATTACGGTAACAATTAGTAAAAACATCAAGAGACAAGGGAACCTAAGAGAATCTCTACAAGCAGTTATCGAGATAAAGAAGAACCATTACAGTAGAGTTCACTGAATTAATGTTATTCATAGTATGGTGGTGTTGATTGAATGTACTGCTCATTTTCCTCCTCTTCATCTTCATCATCCTCTTCAGCATCTATCCAATTACTGCGGTGATGTTGTGAAATTGGTTGAACATTATCTGGCATGCAATCTGGATAAATGTACCAATTATATTAGTTCTTGATTGAACTAAACCAGCATACGGTAAGCCTGTTACCAAGCCAAAACTAACTAACCTTGAGGCTCTCGTCCATGATCCTTTTCAGTTGGTCTGAGATATCAGTCAAGGTAGAGATTAACAGAGTATGAAGATAGCAATGTGCTTGAAATTAAAGGGTTTCAAACAAGATAATAAGTCTAAAATCCAAATAAAAGGCTTCATTCCTAGTGTATCTTCTCTGAGAATTCAATCAGGTAATGGATGTAAAGAAAGAATTACTAAAACATTTGCAGCCACAGCATCATGGAGTACAGTAAATCATGATAATGCTATTGGCGCAAACAGCAGCATCAAGGATACAAATTGGAATCAATGGGATTATTTGCTGCAACTGACGTTACTCTTGAAATTTGCATTGTGCTAATTCTTTGAATTTCTCTTCTACCATCATCATTTAAAACTGTTTCTCCTTGTGTCTGCCGCTCTTCCAAAGGACTAATGCTTTTAAATGCACTTGCTGCAAAATGAAAAAACTGATGAGAATTTTGATCAATAAAAAATTATCAAACTCAAATATTAAAATTACCTGACAGGTCCGACCAAATTCGGGTGTGATCAGATGGAAGCTCTGATGATGCATTTGCTCTGCAGTTCTCTTGCTGCACGTGAGATGCATTTCTTTCTTCAGTATGAGTTTGTATTCTGGTTCCCGCAGGAGGTTCTGAGCCAGTCCCTTCATGAAGCTGAGATATTAACATGGTTGCCAGCACAAGGGTGGCATCAAAATGCGAGTGAGACCCATCCTCCAAACCGAACTTTGGTGCCAAAAGAATAGGTCTGCTTGCCAAACATAGTATCATACAAGAAGTAAGGCAAAATAATAACTATGAAATACAAACTTCAAAATAAAATCTAGAACGCAAGCAAATAGGTCTATCCATTTGATAGTGTGTGTCCCTTACTTCTCCACACTAATATCTGGGACAATTTGTCTTTGCAACTTTTCACATTTCCTCAGTTTTATTTGGGGTTTAATAGAGTATGATAGGTACACTTATCAATAAGCAATATGCACGATGCCATAACTTAAAAGAGAAGGTATGAATTTTTATTCATAGGACAATCCATGCCATTGAGGATAAATTGTGTTAGATATTGTTAAATATTGTTTAGATATTATTTGATATTGTTAAGATATTGTTAGATATTGTTAACCACAATATCAAATAATATCTTTTGTTTATTCTGTTACTTTCAGTTACTCTTTTAGTTGTATCTCTCTATTATAAATAAACTACCCTATGTGTGATATATACACAAGGGAGATTAATTCTAAACCCTATTTTCTCTATATTCAACATGGTATCTAGAGCTTAAGGTTATCTTGAAATTTTTTTTCGCCTTTTGTCCACTACTGGAACCACCCCACCGCTGCTGGAGCCACCCCACCGGTGCTAGAGCCATCCCACCGCTGCTAGAGGTGCCCCACAGCTAGAGCCGCCCCACAGCTACTGGTAAACTAATCCTTTACATAAGAAAAAAATTATCTTTGTTACTGAATTTTATTTGGTAGTGTGAAAGTGCATGTCTAGGAAAGTTCTGGCAAGGAAAGACTTGGTATTTAAGCGAGTCCATTAATGACCCACCTCTCTTTCCTGGAAACTTGCCTAGTGTACTGGTTCACGCCATTGTCACTATTGCCTTCGCCGCCTCCGCCCTTTATGACTTCTTCCGCTCCTTTTAGTACTTCCAATTCTGTCAGTACTGCGTCTGATCCTTCCATCTACACTAACTATGTTAATGTGCACTTATCCATTGACAAGTTAACTGGCCCTAATTATGCCACATGGTCATCAAACGTCAGATTATGGCTTAAGAGTCAGAAGTATCTTGATCATCTTACCCCGAAAGCACCTACTCTTACTCCTGGTGAGGAAGACCGTTAGGACAACATTGATGCTCAATTATGTGTGGTTCTTAAGGGTACTCTTGATCCTTCGTTAAAACAAATTTTTCGTTCCTACGAAACATGTGCCAAAATCTGGGAACATGCCAAGTTATTATACACCAATGATACTTAACGTCTTTATGATGTCTGTTTTAAATTTGTAGATGTTATTGCCCTAAACATCAAGATTCTATGACTGATTATATGGGCAAAATTCATGTTCTTTTTCATGAGTTCAATGAGTTATTGCCTCCTTCCCCCGATCCTGCCACCGAGATAGCACAACGATCAAAGTTCTTCATGCTAGGGGCATTACACGAACTTGCTAATCAATATTCACATATTCGTGATCAAATTTTGGGTTCTCCGGTTGTCCCCACCTTGACATCGACCTGCTCCACTCTTTTGCGTTTACCAGCAAAACCCAACCCTGACACACCTACTTGTGTTAATGATTCTTCTGCATTGGTATCTTACCGTGATGACCGAACTCGCCCTCGTAAACAGGGAAAAGGACGTCCTAAGTGTGAACATTGTGGCAAACTAGGTCACAAGATTGACCAATGTTATGCATTACATGAGTGTGAACATTGTGGTAAGCTAGGTCACAAGATTGACAAGTGTTATGCATTACATGGTCGTCCTCCTCGATATGCTGCAGTTGTTCAAACTGATATTTCTCCACCTTTATCCGCTAAGGATCCTCCTTCTTCTATTTCATCAGACACACCTGCTATGTTCAACAAATTTCTCAAATGGTATAAGGATCAACAGTCTTCTAGTTCCACTCGTGTCCGTCGCACACACAGTACATCTTTTGTCGGTCCGACCCAATCTTCTTCTCGGTCCTTGGGTTTTTGATTCGGGAGCCACTGATCATATTACCGGTAACAAATCTTTGTTCTCCTCTTTATCCTCTCCTAATCATTTACCTTCGTTACACTCGGTCGATGGCTCTAGAGTATCATCTCATGGTGTTGGATGTTAAACTTTTCCCTTCTTTAACCATTGATAATGTTTTTTGTGTCCCTGATTCTCCTTTTAACCTGTTATTCATCAGTCGTCTAACTCGTTCTCTTGATTGTGTTGTTTCTTTTACCAACAATTCTGTGTGTTTACAAGATCGAAGTTCGAAACAGGTGATTGGCACAGGATGTGAGTCTCATGGTCTTTATCATCTTCGTCCCTTTACACATATTGGTGCAGTTATAGAGTCTCCCTCTCTTCTCCATGCTCAGTTAAATCATCCAAGTCTTGCCAAGTTACAGCAGTTTGTCCCTGTCTTATCTAAGTTGTCTAGTTTGGCATGTGAGTCGTGTCAATTAGGTAAGCATAGTCGTACTTTCTTTTCTTGAAGTGTCACGCATGGTGGTTCGTCCCCTTTTGTCGTGGTTCACTCTGACATTTGGGGACCTAGCCGCGTTAAGTCTACTTTAGGTTTTCAATACTTTGTTACTTTCATTAATGATTATTCCAGATGTACTTAGTTATTTTTAATGAAAAATCGTTCTGAAGTATTTCATATCTTTCAATCTTTTTTTAATGAAATACAAACTCAGTTCGGTGTTTCTATTAGAGTTTTGCGCAGTGATAATGGTCGTGAATATCTTTCTCATTCTTTTAAACAATTTTTGGCTTCTCATGGTATTTTGCATCAAACTTCTTGTGCTTATACACCTCAACAAAATGGTGTAGCTGAACGTAAAAATAGACATCTTATTGAAACAACTCGCACTCTTTTAATTCATGGAGAGGTTCCTCAGCATTTTTGCGGTGATGCTCTTCTTACTGTATGTTATCTCGTTAATCACATGTCATCTTTGGTTTTAGATAATAAAATACCCCATTCCATTTTATTTCCTCATGAACAACTTCATCCCTTACCTTTAAGAGTTTTCAGTTCTACATATTTTGTTCATAATTTCAGTTCTGGTTTTGACAAACTTTCTCCTAGATCACATAAATGTGTTTTCTTAGAGTTTAGAAGATCACAAAAAGGATACAAATGTTTTTCTCCTTCTCTTAACCGTTATTTTGTGTCTGCAGATGTCACCTTTGATGAGTTCTCTTTTTATTTTAAAAGTCAATCTTCACCTCTATCTCCATCCAATCTTGTCAATACTCCTAGTACATTTAATGTTCCTGTTGTTTGTGACCCTCTAACTGTGTCTTATTCACCATTAGTTTCTGCTCCGCAGTCAGCTTCTTCACCGCCTCTTCAGGTTTATAGTTGCCCAAATCAATCACAACCACCACCATGTGACTCCACTCAAGTGCCAACTACTCTGTCTCCTCCGGATGTGACACCTGAGTCTGACCTTCCCATTGCCCTCCGGAAAGGTATCCGTTCTACACGTAATCCCTCTCCCCATTATATTGGTTTGAGTTATCATCGACTGTCATTAATCGATTGAAACGTGTTTTAATCGATTGAAAAAGTTCTGATCGGTCATAATTCAATTCTGATCAATCACATTTGATTCTAATCGGTCATATTTGTATTCTGATCGATCATAATGGGTTCTAAGTGGATTTAATCGATTAAAATCAAGTTGTATCGATTAAAATCATAATGGGTTCTTAACTGTTTAAAACATTTTAGAGGCATTTTGCAAAATCTTTTAAGTGAAGAAACCTCATGCAGCAGAAAATATAAAATGATTTTACCTAAGCATCCCTGTAGACACACTAATCCTTTTATTCTTTTATCTAAGTGACTTGTTGACCGCTGCAAAGTTGTTTTTTGACTTTATCTTTGACTTCATCAAATCAATGAGATATTTGCCAAGATATTTCAATAAGATCTTCATCACTTTCAGTCTCCCCCTATTTGATGAAGACAAACACCATTTTGAAAAAAAAATTCTGCAAAAGAAGTCACTTGATAATACAGATTAGTGAGAAATCAAAAATGAATTATCTTCCTATTTCTCCCCCTAAATTGTTGCTCTCCCTAAATTATTTCTCCCTCTAAATTGATCTAAAGTAAAACAACTATTTCTCCCCCTTTTGACTTCATCAAAAATAGGGAACAGAAGAGAAACAATGTAATGATATGTTTGAGAATTTGAAAATAGAAAAAAATGAAAAATACGATACTTTACTCATGTAAAGATCAATCAAAGTTGATTCAAACTTATCTTCATTAACACGTTTGTAATAAATACAATTAACATGTGTAAAGATAAGGGAATCACGCTTTAGTTACATGTTACAAGAACAACCATTAACTAAAGCCTTTAATTTTTCTTCCCAGAATAAAAATCGATTAAAAACAGAACAAAATCGATTAAAAAGTTCTTGTTTAATGATTTTAATCGATTGAAATAAAGGTTTAATCGATTAAAACAGTGAAGGACTTTGAAAATATGAAATATTAATGCATTTAATCGATTAATTCGGCATTTAATTGATTAAAACAGTAAAAAAAAGTATTGTATAAATTCTTTTAATCGATTTTTTATTGATTAAAACAATCAGTTTTGAAAACTATGAAATGTTTGATGCGAATTTATTATGTCTAATCTAGTGGATATTTTGTAAAACTGATCATCTAGAAGAATGTTTACCAATACTATCAACTACATCAATTAAATTTAACTAATAGTTCCATCAAAATCAGAATAAATCTTATTTAGCTAATTTAAAATATTTTAATCGATTGATACGAAGTTTTAATCGATAATTTTGTTGTGAAAAGTGTTTCCTTTAATCAATTTAATCGATTAAATCAATTTTGTATCAGCTAAAACTCTCAGGGATCTATGTTGAATTTTATCTATGCTAGTTTGATTCGAATTGAACCCTACATTATATTAAACAAAACTAAAGATAATGTGCCTGGTATATAACCAGTAATATTACAGACCCAGAAAAATAAGCAGTAAAGAAA